AGCGCCGACCGGCAGCGGCAGATCCCTGGGTGTTGAATAGAAGATAAACAGTCAAATACGTTTGAAGAATGGTTTGCCTCTTACACTTCAGGACTTACCAAGCAGTGAAGCCAGTTTACTCCGCTTCTGATAATTCTCCTGCTTCAATCTGGTTTCCTGCACCTCGATTTCAAATGCTTTAAATTCCAGCTGTTTAATTTCTTCAAAGGCCTGATATGAACGATGGGAAAAAAAGAACAGGTCAGGCTTTTTGAAAACAGACGTCCTCACTGTAAAATGGAAACCTGACAAACATTGTGACAATACAGCATGGCCACTTGTCAATGTAGATGGTACCATCTACATTGGTAACATCTGCAATGTAGACTGGAAGTACACGCATGCAGACAGTCACCTTCCATGCGCACTCCACTGTGTTTTAGAAGTTGACACTATTGTAGTACCTCCAAAAAGCCTTGGTAAATCCAAATCCATTCCTGACTTGTTCATCTGTTCATAAGCAATGACCTAATCTACTTTATACATATTTTTAAGACTCCAGTCTGACAGATCAGTGTTTGATAATAAGATTATGAAAATGTTACACACTCACCTTTGCAAGAAGAGAAACCTTGGATACCTTGGTGTCTTTATCATTCAGCAAGACGAACTTCAGGCCTCCAAAGAGGTCACTTTGGTCTCTGCGTCGCTGGCGCTCTTTGATCAGATGCAACACCTGGAAAAATTTGCACAAACAGTACTTTCCTATACTTGAAATATTTTCAGGCACATACAGAAATACTAAGTATAACTTGGCACCATGCCATTTAAAGTTTGATTCATGTTCGATAAAATTAAAATGGTATTCTCAACTTATAATGCACATTTGCTGTCAAAAAACCTGACATAACAGAAATATAGGGTAAAATTTTCAGCTCTTCCAATGAAGCTTGATCTATTTTGGATGATGTTCTTCTGAACGCTGGGCAGTCTGTATCTGTTTGTAGTTTATATTGATAAATATATTTCAAAATGCCCAATGAAAAGTTTCTTTAAGTTGGTCCCATGTCCTCTGAAAAGGATTCATTTACTCATTCACCTTGTTGGGCTTATCCCTCTTGAAACGCTTGGGTTCATCCTCTGCCTTATCGTCTTCACCAGAGGAAACCTCGTAGTAGGACTCAATGAATTCTGGTTCTTCCAGTGCCATGACAGACTGCTGAATCACAGGCGACTTCCTCTTCCTCTTGCCGCGTCTGGAGTTGCCAGGCTGGCCGACACCAGGGGCAGCAAACCTGGCAGGTGTTGTCTTTCCAAAAGAAAACTTGTCTGGGCCTTGGCTCTGGACCATGTAAGTTCCAACATCAATCTCCTCCACTGGGTCATCACTGAGCAAGGAGGGGCGCATCTTGTGCTCCATCTTTCGGCGTGAGCTTTTTGGGGCAATGATAACATGAGTTGTTGGTGGTTGGGGGACATCCGAGGTGAGCGCAACAGGGAAAATCGGCGGACTCGGTGAGGCTGGCTTGGGTTTTAACAGATGGGGCTTGTGTTTCTTGGAAAGTAGACTGATTGGCTGCACGCCATCAAGGCTCTCAACATCGACAAACTCATCAGAGTCAATGGCGCAGTCAGGAGCCTCTGTGGGCACTTCTGGTTGGCTAGCCTCTGATGGAGGAAGCTGATGTGTCCCTTCAGGTGTACCCCCCCGAAAAATGGCATCTTGAAGCTTAAGAGGATCAGGATCTTTGGAGAAAGGCCCGTGTTGATTGTTGCTCACATGGCTCTCAGAAACTGGGACAATTGCAGGCACTTCTGTTGTGATTTGCCCGAGATTTGATTTCACAGGATTCAAACTGGTTGGGGTCCTGCTTATCTCGCTCCTCTCAGCAAATGCTTTTCCTGTGTTTTCAGTGCACCTGTAACTTGCTGTAGAAGTTGTCAATGTTACAGCTTGAGTTTGGGAGTTTGCAGTTGGAGATGTGATTGTAAGTACTGCAGAGGCTTGAGTAGCTATGTTTGGTGCCTTTTGCAGGTTGCTCAAAGAAAGTTCAGAGGAGGAACCTGCTGTGGTTATATTCTGTGAACTGACAGAGCCAATTGGGCCCAATCTTGGCATTACTGTTGTGGGTACACCAGATGCACCATTCACTGAGCTTGGAGTTGACAGACTTGGTGGCTGCTTTGCAACAGGATCTCTACTGGCAGCCGATGATGAACCTTTCAGCTGATCCTGGACAGCCTTTAGTGGCACTAGATATCCAGAGGGCTTCTTGCCATCAGACAGCAAGATGCTTCCTGGGGGAAGGCTGGTTAATAAGGGGGCACTACTTGGTTTCACTGCGGTGGTGATGGTCCCAGCCTTGGCAAAGTTCATCCCCTTGCTGACAGGATTGCTCGGCAGGAACGTGAATTTCTTGAAGTCGGTCAGTGGGGCGTTATTGCTGGGTAAACCATGCGTTCCAAGACCTGGCTTCGTGGCAGGCTGTTTGAGGCCAGGCAGCTGAAGTGGGGAAGTTATAGGTGTTTTAAGAAATGGAGTTGTACGCTCAATTGTCTTGCTAGAAGTGGCTGCCACAGTTAGTGGTGTCCCCTCCTTGAATGTACTCGTGTTTATAGATACAGCAACATTTTTTTGTTCTTCTTTGCTGAGTATCTCGACAAGAAATTTACCAACACGGATGACGCCGGGGGCACCGTCACCTTTGGATGTGTGCTTGGCAATGGAGCTGAGAATGTCATTTTTTGTATTTGACCAATTGCATTCTGACTGTATTTCAATCAGAAGAGGAGAACGAGCACTTGAACTTGAATTTTTTGTGTTGATGGCAGACATCGACGACCCCGGGAGAAAGACTTGTGTTTTAGTTAGCTTTGGTTTATTTGCTTCAATTCCCTTTTGCTCTGCAGTATTTGAAAATGCTGAAACTTTTAGAGCCTTGCCAGGCATGCTCACTGTTGTATTTGGGTTTGTTGGAATCACTTTTGGAAGGCTTAAAGAAATAGAATTGAGCTTCTTGTTCGTATCTGCAACTGCAGCACCAGAGGTTTCTGAAACAGACAGCTGATTTAAAAGTTTGTTTGCTTTAACAAGGTTTAATGGGACATGTGAAGACCCAGCAGTTGGGCTGGTTGTAGGTGATCCAACTGGACTTTTTATCTTTGTAACAACGGCACTTATCTTTTCCCTTACACTATTCAATGCTACCACAGTATCCTGGGACACTTCCTTTACTTGGACACCTGATGTGGAGACAGTCTTTGGGTGTTCAGTAGCAGAAGTAGAGGTACTATCAAAACTTGATTTGGTTGCAGAAGTGGGATTGTCCACTTGGTTCTGCTCAGTGGCAGCACTAATCTCAAGTTTCTTAGTCAGTTCAGAAGATACATTTTCCTTGGGCTTTTGAGAATCAGAAAAAGTGCTGCTTTCAGTAACTTTGGTCAGTTCCTTGGCTTCCTGCAGGGAAGATGACGATATGGTGGTATTTGTATGCTTTTCAGAGGATTCAGACTCTTGGTTGTTGGCTCCCTCTGCCCTACATACACTGCCATTTAGGTCGTTTTCGGTACATGTAGTACTCTTGGGGCAGGTCACAGTAAGTCCCCTTTCTTCTTCTTTCTCCGTAGCACTGACATTTGCAGGCATCTCACTTGATTTGTTCAACAGTTTATTCACCTCCTTTATACATGCGTGATGCTTTGTTACAGTTTCATGAGAAGACATTTTAAAAACACCACCGAGTTGCCCAGATTCCGAAATCTTGCACACTCTCCAACTATCTTCTGTGCCACCTGGTGATACAGAATGAACATCCTGCACACTGACTGCAGTGCTACTTACTGGTGTTTTATCACAATCTGTCTGGCTTGCAGATGTGGGACTTATTACAGCTACAGGCTTCACCTTATTGTTGTGAATCTTTGGGTCACTGTTCACAGTGACTTGTACACTTGGTTCAGAGTTAAGTGCAGATACTGGGGTAGGTTTGCCTACAGCTGCTGCTTGCATGCTGGATGTTTGTTGCAAGTTGGCAACAACTGGAACTTTCTGTACCATGTACGGCAGTGTGCTGATAGGTGCATATAGGACAACTGTGCCTTTCTTACCAGAGAGTGGTACTTGAAGTGGAGCATAAAGAACACTGGGAACCACTTCCCCAGCCTTTGTTTCAGAGACAACAGCCTTACTCGATTCAGAGGTGTTTGGCGGCCGGCCCTTTTGTGACTGAGCTGTCTCCTGTTTGACCATCGGGAAAGGTGTTTTTGGAACAATTTGTAAATGGGAAATGCTAGGATCTTGCTTGGGAAGACTCTGCTGTGGTGCTGCTTCAGGTTCAGTACTGACTGCTCTTTGAACCTGCTGCTTTTCTTGGGGATTGCCCGATACCAGTTTGCTTGGAGTATCCTCAATTTTTGTTTCTTTTGGCTGGTGCTTTGGTTTCGGCTTGTACATGGTAGCCCGTGCACAAGTTCCAACACCAGATTTTGAGAGTATTCCCGGCTTTTCCCTTTCTTCAAGTGGGCTAGTGGGCTCCTCCACAAAACCGACATTACTGTTGCTGAACATCCCGACTCCATCATAGAAGAGCATGGACTTCTCCTGGAAGATAGTGGGCCTCTTCCTGTTGCGGAGAATGCGGATATTGTTGCGCTGACAAGTGCAATCAAACATGCAGTCCGCCTTCCTACAGTGCTTGGTTAAACGCTCCACTGGCAAGTTGAGGTTGATGCTCTCACAGACACACCCAAGGCGGCAGAAGTCCTTGTTGCATGTAGTCTGCTGGTCAAGTCTCACAAACTCCTGTGTGACCTTACTTTTTCCTCTTCCAGTAACTTTTCCACTTTTGGCATCAACACTTGGCTGGTGCTCTGAATCTGAAGAATGGTCGTTTGCTGTGGCATCTCTCTCGGTCTTTATTTGAATTCCTGTCCGCTGACTGATGTTTGAAGCTGCTTCTTTGGCCTTGATGAGATGAGCATTTTGGCCAGGGGAATTCAGCTGCTGAACCAGCCGGCTATTCACTATCTTCAATTTGGTGGCCCAACTTGTTTGAGATTTGCTTTTATTCGGAATTTTCTTGAGAAAAGCAGTGCTTTCTTTCAACTTCTTTTTCACACTCTCCAGTCTCTCCTCCAAGAAGCGTTTCTTCTCTTCCAGATATGCATCTTTGCGTCTGGATTTCGGTGAGATATTCACTTTATTGATTTGTACATCTCGGTGGTCGGGTTTCACTGTTTGGTCCTGCACTGGAAGTTCTGTATCTCCTGCTTTAATAGAATCTGATGAAAGTGCCTTGACACTGGAACTGAGAGATTCTTTTTCCACAGGGGAGGATTGTGGGTCTGAAAGTTTGAACACAGCAGAGGTATGTTTCAAGTTGTTGGCAAGCTTCTGAGCTGTTTCTGCCACTGTTGGCACTTTGCATTTGTTTTTAGCCATCTGCCTCTCTTTAAGGGCCGTGTCTAAGGTCTTAATGTAGCTGGACTGCTTGGAAGGCATCTTAAAGGTGACTGAGGAAGCCTTGCTTTGGAGAAGAGGATGGCTCGGGCTAGTCACAGTTGACGACTGCTTTTCCAAATCCAGCAAGTACTTGTCCAGAGCATCACTGACAAAGGCAGACTTGGAAGACAAGACTTCCTTCTCAAAGGGCTTGAAAGGAATACTCTCTTCAGGAGGCATTTTCTGAACTGTCTTTTCTGTAGCTGATTCTGCTTCTGCCACTGACAGTTCAGTGTGCTTGCCAGGGGGAGGCTCTGTGTTCACCTTGGACTCTTTGACCTCCTTTGAGTCCTTCCTTGGCATAGTGAACTTAATTTTCAGTCCTGTTGTTGGAGTTGCTGAACAATTCTTTATGGGGCTCATTTTACACGCAGTCCTGAAAAAAGGCTTAAGCCTTTTGGACCCAGTCAAACGATTCCTCTTGCTAGACTTACGTACACCCTTTTTATTCCTGGATTCCCAGCGAATCCCATATACTCTCAAATTAATGCTATTCACTCTATTTCCAATTAAGTCACGTCTGATGGACAAGCCCCGGCGCACAAGCCTTGGATGCAAGACTTCATTGCAGGCACTGCTTCGTAAATATTTGGTAAGTTGCTGCTCAAGCTGTTTGACCTTGTTTTGATGATTTGGAGGTCTGCTACCAGCAGGACTGCTAGCTTGGAGTTGGGAGGGCATGCAACAGGTGCCTGTACCCTGTTGTGCTGACATCTCTTGAGGATGCATTTTGAGATATGATTCAAGTTCATACTGTGTGCTGAAGGATGTAAACAATACACCGTCAATTTCATCCTGCTCCCACGAGCCTCCACTCTGAATTTTCATGGGGCTCAAACGGATTTCCAATCGTTCCAGGGGAACAATTGGTTTATCCAAGTTGGTTATCTTCTCTGATACTTTTTTGTTAATATGGGCATTGCTTGTGTCCTCTACTGAAGAACTGCTTTTGCTTTCTATATTTTGTGACCGACACTTGTCAGAGGTCTTCTGCGAAATACCACTGATCTCAGAAGTTAGGACATCCTTCCTACTTGTTGATGACTTGCATTTATGAGATGATTGTAGCCTTCCTGTAGACCCTTTCTTTTGGACCTGTGTCCAATCATCATTCATCGCAGGAGCAGTGCTTATGTTGGGTTGAAGATGAGAAACTAATTGAGAATTATAACCATGACGATGAGGGCTAGCTGCTGTGGATCTGACACGTGTGCCCACAGATTTCCGTGAGGATGATGGCTTACAGAGGTCAATCACAACATGGCTCTTTGCAACAGTTGATGCATTCTGCGAGACTGATGACTTCTTGACAGCAGGCCCATTTGTCACAACTTTTAAGGAGGAACCTCTGGCCACAGATTTTCTGCTTGTGCTTTTGGTGTGAATGGTCTTCAACAGCCTTGGATGAAATTTATCTGTTGTTTGGCAAGGCTTTGAAGACACAACTCTTGCTGTACTAATTTTATGTGATTTGGAAGACAAGGTTGAATGGGGAATGTCTACACCCATACTTTTTTTTGGTCTTGCATTCAAGCTCATGCTCGTGTGTTTTTCCAGTTCTCTGCATCTATGAATTTCTTCAAGCCCATTCATTTCATCTCCAACATCATCAAATCCAGCAATATCTTCAAGCCCTGCCAGATTGCAATATCCTCCAAGTTCTCCAAGGCCACCAAATTCTCCTTCAGTTTCTTCAAGTCCGCCAAGATCGCCGATATCTCCAAGTCCTCCACAATGTTCAATATTATGAATATCTCCAAGCTTGTGAAAACCTGACTCAATTGCATCAAAAGAGCTCTCTGTACGTTCTCCTTTTTTTCCAAGGTTCCCAGAACCAGGCTTTCCTGTACTTTTCCTTTGTGTTTGCCCTGAATTCTGGAGTTTGCCTTTTCCAAGCTGCCCACGGGACGAAAGTTTCATCTTACATTTTCCACCAAGTTCTAAATTTAGAGAACTGTCAATGGAACTTTTGAGTCCACTTAAGGCACTTTTTGGAGTAAAAATCTCTTTCCTTTCCAAAATGGGAATAATTCCATCAGACTTTGAAAGCTCAGAAAGAGAAATGCTGCACTGCGGTCTCTTGTTCTTTCCTCCAGCATGAGCTTTTGCTGTGGAGGTAACACTGCCTCCACTCTTGAGGTTATTCCCTTGTTGAGGGTGATCCTGTGTAGTGATGCTTGAGGAAAGCTTCTGCTTTCTGTTACCAGAACCAGCCAAGGACATATGTGTGCGAGAAAAGGGCGGGGGTGCTGTGGGCTTCTTGAAAACAAACTCACTGCTGCTTTTTCCGGGACAGGAGAGGCTTCTGGAAGCACTGCTTGACTGATGTGGCATGAAACTCCCACGATCAACAGCTGAAGGCCTCTTATCAGACACCCTCTTGCTGGTATTGACAGGCTTGCCAAGAGCTGAAAAGATATTTCGGTCAGGCTTTGACTGAGGCTCTAAACTGGAAACGCCCTCTTTCACTTTCTGCTTCAGACAGGATTTGGGAGCTACTGTGGTTCTCGTTGACACCCAAATCACGTCGTCAGTACTTTCAGGATGCACTGGTTCAGGCTGTGTGAACTTTGTATCCCAGACAGTTCTCTCTTTTGATTTGCTAGCCGAGGAAGACGACGACTTCTCGCCTGCTGTCCTATCCTGTGCAGCAGTAGGGGAGTAACTTGATGCATCCTGCCAGTGTCGATCTTGGAAGGATGGCGTTCCAAGATGCACCTTGCCACTGTGAGTGGACTTCCTTGCATTTATCTTCAACTTTGCTGCAAACATCTTGGATTGAAAGTTAAGCTGTGAAAATTGAAAGAAATTGTGTACACTTTAAACTTTTATCTAAAACCGAAATTTTGACAACCCTTTTACTAATTCCATTTGGGTGTGACCTAGAGAATGGCACGCATGCATCCAGCATGCTATGAAACACACGCATACATAAAGCCACCTTTTTGTAGCAGTGCCTGAAAAATTCTTTGACTCAAATGCAAAGGGGGTGTCCCAAATCACTTCACATTTCTAAAAGTTGTACAGTACAAATGTTTATGGAAGAAACCCTCCGTGTTGGAAAGAGCGCCCAAGCCCATTTATTATGCCACATTTCTCACGTTTCTTAGCTTAGTTGACAAGAAATTTCTGTTTATTATTGTGCCCCCCACCCTACAGTAAATGTGTCTTTCTAGTAAAAAAAGTCCCTGTGCAACGTCTTAAATCTGGCCCCCAGACAGTGTATTACATTGTATCAACTTTTTTTTAGCTATGTTGGACATGGTATCAGACGGTTCACTGTGGTACAGCAGGTTAGTCGGACCTACAGCACATGCAGCGATGATGGTGTAGTGCGAGGGTGTCAAATGTATTATGTACACCTGCAGACATAATGGTACAAGGGTTGGCAACTTTTAAAAATGTTTTGATTTAAAGCAGTATTTTTTTCTTTAATTTTTATAAATATTGGAGACAAGTCGTCTTTTATTATCTATTCCACAGCAAGCAAATTAGCTGCATGTGTGTTAATTTCTGTTACTTATTTCTTCTGTTACAAAATTAAATCAGGATTTAAATCAAAAAATTAATTCAAGTAATTTGATTAAAATCACAACCACCTCATAAAATGTCTAAACCCTGGTGAAATGCATGCAGTAGCATCTACATGTACACGCACAGAAGAAAGTTCCGTCAGAGATACAGGTAGCAAGGGAATTTGTGTAAACCTAATAACCAATGAGTGAAAAAATGCCATCGACCACATGTACATACGTACATATTTATTTTACATGCTAGAGTTACATGTAGGTACGAAATGCTGGTATTTTACTTTGCTCTAATGTGTGCAAAAAACAGTCTCGTTTTGTTGGTGATCCAGCTCCTTTGTGATTAATAGAGTAATGACTAAGGCTTGATTAAAACTTTATTAACCACTTCCTGCTGGGTGGAATATGCATATGCGGGATGAGTTCCCAGGTGATTTTCAAGATTTTCTGTTTTCAAAATTCTTCAAAAATTCATAACTTCATTTACTGGATGCTCACACCCACACAAATGACTGTCTGGCGTCTCCTCTAATCTGACAGGCCACCTCCACTCTGCCTCCACTGACACTTTGTTATTGCAGCCAGGCCTGCCACCCAGTAAAGAGAGCCCAGAATCCTGCGGTGTTACATTATTTCCTTCGTTCCCAAAATTGGCCCAGTGCTTGCTGACTTGCAGTGATGTCTTTTCAAATGCAGCTAGATTAGCATACAGCGGTACTGTATCACTCATTGGTGGAGTGCTGGTGAACTTTTGTCCCCGCTGATAATCCGCGGGTGCTGAATGCCGCAAACAGTGGTATACTGTTTCAAAACAATGACGGATTACCTCAGCTAATGCCAGCTGAAAAATGGTGGCAATTCCCAGCAGCTCGGTCTTTTGTTCCGAGTACGGTCTTTTGTTACAAGGCCCAGCTCCTTTGTCAGATTTCGGACACCCCAGCTATGCATACAAACCCAAGGTACCCGGTACCGGGAACCCTGGAGGCAAGTGGTTAAAATCATTTTGTTCTGGTTTCACTAATTTTGACCAACATTTCCAAGCTCAATAAAATACACGAGTACTTGTAGAGATGAAAGGTAGATGTCCATGTACACTGATACTTTACCATGTTGAAGTCAGAAGTGGAATGTTAAAATGACGTAAATTTAATCATGATTATAAATTGTTTTACATGAAATTCATGCACTGAATCCAAAAAGCTGATTTAAATCAAAATAAGTAGCTTGATTTGAACAAAAAGAATCTGCCGACCCAGATTAAGTGTTGCACAAGGCATCACAGGGGGATTTACAACTTAAAATCTGCAAAACCTGAAAAAAATTACCTCTTGAAAAAAAAAATAGTTTGTGTTGTTTGAAACGTTGCTTTTTCAACATAAATTTTAAAATGATTTTACATCATCAGCTTTTTAAAAATTTGATCTAAATCGGTGATTTAAATTAAAGTGATTTAAAATTGGCCAACCCTGAATGTATAATGTATCTGATTGAGAATTTCTACACGTCCGAGATGTTTGAAAATACAAATTGCTTCTGATTTCTTGTAGAAATAGCCAGAGAGACAGAATTACCTGGAAGGCACAGACTAACCTACAGGGAGACAGAATTGACTTATTGTCATTTGTGAGTTAGCCATGCCCTTCAGACAACCTTGTGGCAATTTTGTACATTGAATTTTGTTTTTGATCTTGCACATCCTGCGTTCATTTTGCATCATGTAATTGGGCAACATTTCACAAATTTTAGCATGACAGGTCAATTAACAGGTCAGGGGAAACTTTTTCCCTGTTAAGCTAAACCCACTTTCAGTGGTATGCATGATTTCAAATGGGGTTGGGTGCAAACTAGTGAAAATGCCCTTCACTAATTGAATCTGTTATGGCTGGAGCTGACTATGACATGCGCACTGGCTAGCAGCTGCAGCCACTGATTATAGACGCGTGTGCTGCTCTGAGCCACAGCCACTTGATTCAGGGACAGACACGGACACTGACACTGTTGTCCAACAAAGGGCCCTCTTGGTTCAACGACGAGGACGAGTCACCATGCAAGATCGTAGAAAAAGCCACAACACCAAATGTAAGCATGTACTGTACATGTAACCAATGGTAAAGGCACTGCAAAGCCCATACCTGTCATAATTTTGATCCGACACCCGAGCTGAACGAGAGCGGCGACATCGTTGGCTGTGAAATAATGACACACCTGCATACAAAAGAGGTACATTTCATAAATGGAATAGCATTGGTTCTTTGGTCTATTTCTCTGTGGCTTATTACTACTGTTTGTTGGTGTCTATCCCTTTTCTTCCGACAATAACGTTTTGTGACATATCTTCCAGGAAGTACATGTACACGTATCAACTTGAAATATGCCTGAATTATAACATCATCAGGTATGTGTATTAACTTACAAGTGATTTCAGTATCTGGAAATAACCCAGACACAGCAGCACTTTTCCACAACCTACTATATTTACTAAAATATCAAAAACGGTACCGAGTACTGAAAGGAGTTGATGTCATTGTGTCTAATAGTATTGAGAGTGGAATGCAAACCACAATACAAAGTTGACAACATCCTGACATGAAAAAGTACACTTCAGCAGCACAGTAGGAGGGTATTTTTCTTTTTCTTAATACATCTGCCTTACTTGCATTATACCAAACTGCAAATTTAAGTAATCTATGTAAATTTGTGTCATTGTGACTCAAACTTTCAAAACAAACTCTGAATATCAGTATGTCTTTATTACAATAATAGACTTATTTGTGACTGGATTTTTACACAACTGACGAATGTCCTGTCCAAATGCCACAGAGACTTGTGTTGTTCATTTAAATTCTCCAAATATAACAGACGTAAAAACATTCCAATTCTCTCACTGACGTGAAATGGTAATGGAAAAAGTGCCATTTTAAGATATAAAATATGGCACAAAAGGAAACTTTGAGATGCTTGGAGGCAGCAAAAATACCATTCCAACATGACCAGTCCATTAGTCTTTCCATCATTCTGAGCATTCACACACTGGCTCAAGCACGTAGCAAACAATGGTGGTTTGACCGCGTGATAATGATGTGTTTGCCGCCACCAAGAGTCCCAAAGTCTCTCACTGCAAAATACCTCAAAATGCTTCCAGTTTCCTGATCAACCCTAATTTCTTGGCGTGACCCCAAAATTTTTATCAGCAAGTTAGAAAAACAAATTTTAAAAAGTTAAAAAAAAGAAAACCTTACTGTTGCCTTTCTGTCTTCACTAAACAACGTTTTTACATCAAAACACTTGTACTTACATGTACGTTACCAATATTTTCCACAGTTCTCTTTGGGTTTCGCTATTGCGGTGGTGAAAACATGCACAATCATGCTTAATGCGTTGAAGCAATGCTGCACTGGTTTCTGCTGCGCCGTGCCATTGCATGAGAAGGCACGATCAAAAGGCAGCAACCAGTCTACATGCAGGCATCCAAGCCAAAATAGTATCATTACACTACACTGTACATGCATGAAACTCAATAGCTGCACATTGAAAAATCTGATGTTGCAAAATTGCTGCAGGTTTCTGCATTCACAGAACTTGATCTCTTGTCTATGTATGTATTTCAGCGTTCATGAATTTAATTTGAGGTTGTATTGCCCTGTCGCAGTATAAGGTTTTATCGCCTGCCCCTCTAGATGCATCACGCATGCTTACCACTGTTGCAATATACCGACATTGTTTGCCAGTTTCCCGTAGTGATTACCTGACTAGTGTTGTCCATATTTTAGGGTGGCTTTTAGAGATATCTCAAAATGTAAAAATGCCGAGTCACAAAATACCCATAAAAGAAAATATAGCTGCATGTACGTGTAGAGAGAAAAAAGAAATTTCACTTGTTCCATTAGTGCTATAAAGGGATTTGATAACGGCAATGGGTCTTCAGCATTTTCCAGAGCAGTATGCATTTATACTGACTTCAGAAAGGCCATTTGCGTACATGATTACGTCAATTCCAGACATGTAAGGATATGTGCATGTACCATGACAATGTGTTTAAAATGTACCAACAATTATCTCTGAAAGTTTCGCATTCAGTACAAGTCAAAATACTGCATAATGATTGTGTCGTCTTGTCACACCATACATGAAGAACCATACATGAAGAACCAACCAAATCAAACAAAATCAAATGACAGAAAACACATTTACAAATTTGAAACTGTGCACCTCAAGTGTTTAGACGTGATGCATTTGGAGACACTGAGGTAATGTACGAGTACTTTGTGGCACATATATACATTTATGGTTTTGGGACACCTAATTTCAATGAGAATTTGAAATGTAGTCGGGAAATTTGTGCACAATTTTTATGCGGTTTACGAGGAAACTGCAAACAATCTCCTCAGCTGGTGTCTGGAAAAAATACATTCTATTTTGACAATCACTGTATTGGCAACATCCCAAGGAAAAACAGAGTTACTTTTGAGAAATTTGCTTAGCCAGCGTAAAATTTCCACAGATGAAACTTTTTCATTACAAGTGCAACAAATGCGCACTCTTCTTGAACAAACGGTACACATGGTTGACAGGTACATGTACAGTATACTTATAGCACAAATATTTCCTGTGAGGATTTCAACATTGACTACATGCAATGGGTTGATTATTGGTGTCAAAAGAAGTACTGTTTGTATTATCTGAAACCTATGTGACAAAAAGGCAATGGGTAATCTATAAACACTGCATACTTGCAGGTCAAATCACATGTAAAGATATCTTAATCCAAATCGTAATTAGTCACGTTCTGCAAATGTGTAACATGTTCAATACCAGTTTTATTGGTTGTATTGCAGTTAGGTTTGTTTTTTGTATTGTAATGTGTACTTTGGCAAGGTACGGTACATGTACCTTATGTACATTACGTGTACTTCATTTTACCAATTTGCATTATGTTTGCACGTTTCCTATATTGAAGCAGCACAATAAATTTACTTCACCATTTCTTACTTTAATGTTGGTTCGTACTGCAGGTAAAAGCTGAATGAGAAGCGAATTTAATAGCGCGTCTCAAAATAATGTTTGCAATATTCACTTGAGGTGAAATGTGATCAACTTTTACAAATTTGCAGCAATTTGTCACCAATTCACATTCGTGTTTGTGCCAAGTGTGAACCTTAATGATGTGGTAATTTTCAGAATTGTTGGATAAGAACACTGACATCTCTATCCTAACGGACTCTTTCAAAGGTACATGTAAACATTCTGCTTGTATTGTAATGTCAGGCCCTAGAACTAGATTTGTGTATTCCATGTTACTGCAGTAAGCAAGCAGTTGACAGCAGTTTTTATATTTTTCATTTGTGATATTTATATAGAAAACCCAGCTCTATGGCTAATGGCATAGGACGACTTTACAAATGTCCCCATAGCATGGTACTAATCATCGTCCCTTCAAACATACAGACATGAGCAAGGTAATGTGTATGCCTATGAGATTGTATCACAAAGCTGTCAAGCTTATCTTCTTACAAGTGCTCCAAAATTGTTCCTAAACATATAACCAAAAATATAGACCAAGGGATCTTACGGAATTGTAAACGTACATATGTACACCCCATCACTGAAACTACAGGTGTGTACGTAACCCAGGCCAGCATTGTACATGTACAACGTACATGTACACCATGAACGGAGATTGACCGCATGGCATTCTACACACTGCCGAACGAACACAATTACAATGCAACACTAGCATGACTAGGCTGGTTCCACCACGAGGTCGATATAAATAAACCAAAATACAACTCATACATGCAGATCATCCACGATTCAAAGCCCTTACCACGAGTAGTAGCCTTTAAAACCAGTATCTAAATTTAGGGGTCGGTTTTTGGCAGCTGCTGAGGAGTGATTTCTTGCTTACAAGCCGTAGAATATAGCACTTCGTGCAAACTTTTCGAGCACGCTATTCAATGCATGCACTGCAAGAATGTCAAACGTAAACTTTCGTCCCGAAATAACTGCCCAAAATCACTCTGTGCATTACCTGAACTATCAGTACAACTCAATCAATTGTGCAGAAACTGTTATCATACCATAATATTGGCTGCCATGACTTCCAAGGTACCACACGTGGAAGAAAATCGACTAGATTTTGAACGAAACTACTTCCAGTCATCCGCGTCCACGGCGATATATCTCTCCGCCATTTCCTATGCAGCATGTAGCAATGCATTTTGGGAATGTAATGACGTTACAGCTAGCGCGAATTCCCTGCACGTGGTGAGGTCACGTGAGTTGGAAAAATACTCGCGGCGAAATTGAAATTTGCATTCCATAATCGAACAGGGCTTGGGCCTCATTTGTGGGTGACTAAAGGAATCTTTTAATGGCTTCGAAAATTATAATGTTTGAAAACGATGTGACATTCCTCATAACGTACCACAGTTCCGTCATGTGGAACTGGCTGTGGCCCAACTATATAATGCATGGTACCTAGTAGTTTAATTAAGGGCACTCGATCGGAAGCCCAGTCGGCTGGCTCGAGTTAACTCATCAAACTGTGGTGAGCCGGGTTTGGCAAGGAAATGTTCCATGATATGATGGCAACTCCATCTACCGTATGAGAAACCTGTAGTCTCTCACAGTTTGCAGTTACATAGAGTTACATTCCTTAACTGCATTTCAAAGACCTAATTTAGCTTTGATCACAACCGTCAACGTGATATATGAAAGTTACTTCATTTCCAGCTGATGGGCTATGGGGGAAGTGTCTCACCAATTTTTTTTCATTGAGTGAGCTGTGATTTTCTTGAGAACGCACACGGGCTGGACTTTCCCATTAGAAAGCATAGGCTCACGGTAAAGGGAATACTGTGGTATTGCGGGGCAGCCTGTAGCTAGGGGTCGGCGATCGCGAAGAGACGCCCTAACCGTGCAGAGGGACCGCACTCACGGCACGTTCTCACAGGCAATAAACCTTGACGCAGTTGTGCACTTGGCAAACAACAAAACCCGACCAATCGAAGAGGCATGCGCACACCACCTTTTCACGAGCGTAGTGATATAAATCCTACTTTGCAATGAGTGCCCCCCGGAGGTCCAGGCTAAATACCTCTATGCCCCCCCCCGTTTGAAATTTGAAGTACACGTAGGCCTACATGTACAGTAGATCTCATTATAACAAAGTTGCAGGGACCACATTCCTTTATTATAAGAGGAGTAGAACAAAGAAACTAATAACGATTCAAGAAATTGGGATTCTCGAAATTTGTTCTTTTAAACAGTGTTCTTTAAGCGAAAGTCAAACCCACAGGCCTATGCAAGCCATTATACCAGGCAAGATATGGGACGGAGGGGTCCCCCCTTACCTGTCCAGTCCCTACATACAGTCTAGACTATTGTTACCTATCACATCCCCCTACAAGTCTGTAAAGAATTCCCGAGATTCCGATCAAACAATGACCAACACAAAGGCGGGGGGGGTTCTCTCCGTCCCATATCTTGCTTCAAATGCAAACCATTGTTCATCGGCTTAAATTTCGGTACTTCGACCCGGAAAAAGAGTGTTCATCCCCCGTGTATATGCCACTGGCTGTTGAACGTAAAGCCGACAAATTCGGGAAGCTAGTTCCAAATCGGTCTTGCAGACTGCAGCTGACCCATGACCATAAATGTACATATGTAACTTGACCAGTCATGTATCACAAAGGGACTATAGAACCATGCCTGAAAGATCACAAGCAATTCTCAAGTAGGAAGGGTGGGTCAAGGCGTGAGCACTGATGTTTTGCGTAGCTTTCATGTTAACTTCGCATTCGGAACAGAACTTTCTCTGACGTAGGTGATACGATCAGGATGCTCGAGATTTTTTCCCATTGTTGAAAAGTCAGTGCAGGGGTTGGCCTGAGGTATATGGCCGCAGTATAAATACCTAGACGTCCAGGGTTTTCACTTGGTATATCGTGGCCGAAGTTTGTATCAGTTAGATAGCACTGATCACCAGGCCTGAAAAAAAAGGAACGAGGGGGTTGAACACCGGTCCGGAAAAGGGTTAACAATTGTTGAGTACTGTTATAGACGTAAAGATACGGAAAATGACACATGTGCATGCAGGAAACTGAAGTAGGCCTATGACCGAGTGAATGTGCACTGTGAACTCGAAACAGTCCTTGGCCTGTCTCTTGGAAAATTAGAGTTTTCTTTCAGTGTATGCATTATTAATTGGGAACGGGGTCATCGAACCGTGACGCCGGACCTAAGAGGAACACTATACAGGGTGTACCAGAAAAAAAAAACCCTGAGGAAAGGGGCTAATATGCCCGAACTATGAGATATGATTATAATGTATAAGGATCTCCAAAAAGTTGAAGCAGTATTCTTTCTAATGATACCTTGATGGTATCCCTCCTGCCATGCATGACTGAACACCATCGTCTTGAAAATGGGGCATCCGAACTCAGTTGTAACACTTTGGATAAACCAGTGAATGAGGTTGTCCTCTGTCATGCTTGTCCTGGTTGAAAGTGACATACATTATATCCCTATACATTATAATCATATCTCATGGTTTGGGCATAATTATTAAACCCTTTCCTTGGGGTTTTTTTCTGGGACACCCTGTATACCCCTAAGTTAGCATCTTAACCAACCTATTAGTGCAACTAGTAGAAACGTCAGCAGCCATTGCATGCAAGATGATACACGCACAAACAACCTGGTGTCAAGCTTTCACATCATGATAGCATGTACAAGACTAGGTATAACGTTTGCATGTAGTACGTAACCATTGCTAAATACAAAGACACAACGTGCCTGAATGTTCAAAGCTTCAACTAGCACGTTGTAGCTTATGGTTTTGAAACCCATTGACAATATCCGCAGTAACGAATGCAGTCATGTTACATATATGTACATGTATATCGAGTTCCGCAGCTATCAGGCTTTGCAAAGCAAAGTTCACGCCTGGCTGAACAACCAGCTAACCTCTCCCACATTAGCTAAGTGCATTGTATTGTGCTTGCGAATGAATATCCCCGGTTCCTGGGAATGAACGTTTGGAGTTCATTCGGTAAATTGTCGGGTTGGATAGTCTCAAAATGAGTGAAGCTTCCTTAAGATGCGTGTGGTGGAAAACCTGAAACAATACATGATAAGTTTGTTTGGAAATCACAGGTATGGAAATCATTCCAAGGTGGCCGAGAAGAAAACAGGTCTGAAATAAACTCGAGATATGGATTCCAAAAGGGAGATGCCAGGTTTGCATGATATGACCCATAGCCTGTGGCAGCGAATGCAAGGGGGGGGTCATTTTTGTCCACCTCAAGGTTTTGAGCCTATTCGTCAGATTCCAATTCCTTGCCAGACGTGACTGCACATATTGTGCCCCCAACATATTAAGAACAGTCAGTGCCAGAGCCTGGGAACATCGTGGTTTGGGTAAATGTGTGGAGGGTGCAAATACTTCAGAAGCACGACAGATAAGATTGGAGGGAGGGTTAATGAAATGCACACGTTGCAACTGAGCACAAAACTAAAGACAGGCGTAGAATCTCTTATCTAACTAAAACATATTCTTTTCAAGATTAAAGGAAAACTTTCTTTCCTCCATTTTGTTTCAAGACCCGTTCTTTATTATCAGAGCTAATCTCAACTGAATAAGAAAAACGCAACGCTCAGGGCGTCCACAGATTTGGCAATATACAAGTCAAAATAATACAGGGGGGAAAATCCACTTCTGTTCGAGTAATGATGGCAATTTACTTGATTATTCAATAACAATATTACGTATTATTTCACAGTCATCGGGTAAAATGAAAACCGAAATAGGTAAAATACACAACGTCTCAATATTCAAGTCCGATACAAAATAAAGACACTCTACAGAAACTCTCTATTAGCCCAGCTAGATGAGCAATAAAAGTTGTGTTCTAAGGGAGTAAAATACAAATTGTTTATTAAAAAAGCGTCATGACGGAATCAGATATTGCAAATTAATGATAAAACCAGCGACAAGCAAGGGCTTTGACATACCCAAATGTGTACCTAGTTATGATCCATGCATTCAATTTTAAATATTCCTCTTAATTTGAAAAAGCAATTTACTGCAAGCCTGCTAACTAGCTTAAGACCAACTCTGCATCTCGCTGTTTGTTTTACTGACAGTAAGCAATAAAAGTACCTCTATACAACAATAAGAGTGGTCTACGAAGGAAATGGTCTAGAAAATAAAAGTAACCATAAAAACCATGAGCTGACTTTGGCCAACTATAGCATAAAAAAGTCATTAATGAGATTTATTTGAATGTACTGATGTCACAGCAATCCATATGTCCTCACTATTTGCACAAAGCTAGTTCTGTTTTAAAGAGATTTAATCGCGGTGATTCAACCAGCAAAGCAAACAAGAAAAGTGCACGTGTATAACACCTAAAATGATTGACGGGAAAAAGATAAAAAAACAAATACGAAAGAAAAATATTCAAACAAGACAGACAGCAGAGCTAGCCATGGCAAAACAAAATTCATGCAGCGATTCTGCTAGACATGGTATTCTGCCCAACATGGTTTAAATCAAGAGTCTGGTTCCTACGTGGGAAACACATCCGAGTACAACAGAATACATTTTAATATCTGACAACCAGGTATATCAAATACATTTCCGAACTGTTGGGAATCAAAAACAACAAAAAGCTGCAACTGAAATCAAAAACAGTAAAAGTGCACAGCCAGTAAATCAATCAGGAAAATAGGTGTTAATTTTTGAAAAAAAAATCGGTGGTAAGTAAAACTACAGTTGGCAAACCTGTTGTGACTGTAATAATCCCCACTGCTGAGTCGATGGAGAATTAAAAAAATCACAGGCTTAAAATGGATGGCTCACGTAGTGCGAGCCTTATATTTTATTGATGTGTGACATAACGTATATTCACATTAATTTTTTCCACTCAGTTTTATACTGGAGTTTAAAGTTAGTTCTTTTTGTACATCAATAAATTATTTCGAGTGAGCAGGCTAGGTATACAACTATATGATTTCAGTTCAGAGATAGCTTGCCACGTACTAGGAAAGAGAACACAATTTTTTGATACGTACATTGAACTTCACTGCATTTGGGTAATGATTTACAATAATTAATGAGTAATGATTAATAACGATAAAAGAAAACTAATCCGAGATTCACAAAAAACTTCCTAAATTACATTTGCCTTCAGAAATCCTTTGATTTGCTTTAACAAATCTGTTGCATACAGTAACTCAAAAAAGTCTTGAACAAGTTGAAGTTACGAAACCCCGTTTTTGATATGTCTCTACTGCTGATTAAAGATGCTTGGGACTTCATTTATTCCAATGAAGACCAGATCAATCAAAACAATAAACGAATTAAAAATAAACAAACGAACAAAAAATTTATAGAAAAAAATGGTTTCAAATTGACCTCTTGGTACATAGTCACATGCTTATATCATCATGTTCCCTTGGGAGATCTGTACACAATGATCAGCTAAAAATTGCTTTTAAAAACACTCAACCAAAAAGGGAAGAGGCATTCTAAAAGAATGTACATGCTGAGTTTCTTCTCTTTTCACCCACACAACTAAAGCCACTGATTTTGCATAGACTGACATGTCGCAGCCATCTGTAATAAACTGAAATGCCAACCAGCAATGCACGACGTCTGCTACATGATACAGCCAGTCTAGTCATTCAAACAAAAAGAAGCATCTTTGGTAAAGAATGGAGCCACGGCACACGCATAACGAAGAAAACAACTCCCTATATCATGAAGATAAAAAATTTTGATTTTTTAAATAAATTTTAAGTTACAGAACTTGGCAACATTTAAATACACACAACTGCTCTATTGGCCTAAGCCATTGTCTCTGTACAAAAAAGTAGCAGTTTTAGGGAAAGAATTAGACTAGTTCCCTTGTCTATGTACAGCTACACATACGAAGTCTACACCATCAAGGAATGTAGTATAAATAGACGGGAGGGAGATATTTGTTTGTCATATCTTGCTAGGAAGGATGCTGTGCCTCCAAAATATCTTCAACCCCCCCCCAATAATCTATCTTTCTGGATGAGGGATGCTTAGGCAACACACTCCTGTCTATCACTCACTGGGCTACAGTGCCAAACTGCATCCTGGGTCCAAATTAAAACTGGCCCAAAATTGGAATTGGGTTTGTCACATCTACGGCTGTGACTGAGCAAATGGGCATTCAAGATTCCTGCCTCCATCAGCAAGGGATTACCCATATATTGGATACAGCCTCCATCAATTTCAAAGCTTAAAGGTAAATCTACTTGCCACTCCTGTGGGGCTATATATAAAACTGATCATCCACACACCCCTCATTACCTGCTGTAGAACACTGCAGCAATGAGATAACAGCAGATTCACATACCAATATATTATATACATAACTTTCGATTGTTTTTGTAATTTAACAAGACAGTGTATTACTGCAGTACAAATATTCCCCATTTACCAACCTTTAACACCTGCCACAGTGTTCTAAAATCAAAACAGAATTCAGTTCTTACTCTCTACACTCATACCAAAACCAAACTGCTGTTTTTCAAAATTTGACACAATACGATGAAGTAGACAATATTTTTAAAAGTTCTTATTTGAAATCCGTTACTTAAGCTTTACAACAAACAATTTTCTATTAAGTACAAATCTTCTGTTTTGACATTCAGTTTTCTTTGAAGAAAAAGACCACAAAGAACAGATGCCACAGACAAGGATCTTTTCTACATCTTGTCTGCTTTTCACCGGACACTGAGTAATATTGATAATGAGGAAACACATAATTAGCTTACACTGGGAAGAGGTAGGAACCAGCAGCACAAGTGACCCGTGCCCATGAAAGGACAAAGCTGCACAAAGTTGTTTGACAGAACAGCCAAGTTCAAATGCACTGAGTTTGTTGATTTTGAAATTTAAAAAAACATCAAATGCTGACTACAGTTTTCTATCAGATTCCATATTTCAATAAATCAGTTGCAAATGTTCTTAACTTGGCAACTGCAGTGTTTGTCTTTTTGTTTAAAGTTTTTACATAAATTCTTAGCAGTTTTTAAAGTCACCTCTTTCTTGAGCTGTGCATTAATAGTGCTGTCATAAATCTGGGAAAATCCGCAATCTCAAGATTTTCACTTGATTTTGTGGGCCCATATTATGTCAGTGAAATTCTCTGCTCTCTTTGAACTTCAGGGGAGTCACAGACTAGTCAGTGAGAAGAAAGGAACTATGGTACACAGGTCTCATTGTAAGGAGAAACAAACAAACAAACATACTTTCACTTTTCATTCAAAAAAAGCCGGATTTTCAAGGGGGCATATGTAGGGCAATATTTGGGACTAGCTTCCCTCTTAACAAGCCCTTTGTTGTCTGTCCTGCTTCTAGAGTGTTATTACAGGTGGTTGTTTTATGGGGAAGAATTGGGCATTGAACATGAACAATGTTGAAAAATGTTGCATGTAACCCATTACCTTGGCGATGACATCAACCTGACTATTAAACATTGACACATCCAACAATTACAGCCTATCTTTACCTTCAAAAGGTTCAATATTTCATGACTCTACTTAATTTCCCATCAGAAATGTCTAATATGTTTGTATTATGTGCACCATTTAAAAATGTCCTGGGGTAAAAATCCTGCTAAGGGGATGCACCAGACTACATACACATTTTGGGAAAGTTCTTAAAAACTGTATGCATTTTTGTTTACATAATATCATATATTAGTTATAAACTACTTGTATGGAGGCTAAGCAGAATTTGGGTCTATGCTAGGTGCAGCTACTTGGTCCTGGTAGTATCTCTACATAGTTTTCTGGGATGAGGCCGGTTTTGCCATTCAGTGTTCCCAGTAGCCAGCCTTTCTCCTTTGAAGCTCTAACTGTGTTGGGGAATGAACGAAACAGAAACATTGAACAAAAAAGTGACAACTTCGTACCTTTGGGCATTCTCTCGTTCGGAGATGAAAGTCACCACTTCTTTAACACTGACTCTTAAGCTTGAAGGACATTCCAAAATTGGGGTTGCAGAGCACTTGATTTTTATGCCGCCACATCCTCTGCCTAATTTATGGAAGCTAACCAATGTCCCCTAAATGAAGCATGTCAACTTCTGGGCAAGATTTGGCATAAAAAATTCAGCACCAACAGTTTTTAAGCAAATAAAGGTCACCAGTGCAAACACAGTAGGGCGTACATTTGTTTGTAACTGGTTAAAACATGAATCCTCATTATTTCCTGAGTGAAAACTGCAAACAAAAAAGACCCTCTGCTGAAAAGTCAGTAACACACATAACTTGTTTGTCTGGGAACGGGTCTGTTGCAATGTAAACCTGTCTGTGCTCAACATACTGCTGTTCTTAGCAGCTGGCTTTGAGCACTGGAGGGAAAAAAAAGAAAAACAGCTAAGAACAACCAAGCTTAACAAGTAACAAAGAAAGTTGACCTGAGCGTACAGGATGTCTGATACCTGGCAGAGGTGCATAAATCAAACTGGCTTCAGCAATGTGTGTGGGCCAATTGTCTGAACACCTTGCTGCTTGGTACATTACAAGGAGCAGTCAGCACGCCATTTTTTAAAGAGAAACATAAGGTGAAGACTCAGGGGGAATTCATTTTTCCCCCCTCAAGCCAGGCAAGTGTCAGGGGATCAAGGCAGTCATTGGGGAGGATCTCAATGCAAACAGACAAACTCACCATTGATAATGATCTCATTGGGAACAAACGATAACTCGGATTCGTTGTCAGCATCGCATGCATATAACGTCCTCACACAAATGTCCCTGTTGCCAAGACAACATAGCTAATTTTAGCGCATAACCGGATGAACAGAAACGGGAGTTTGAGGAGAAATGGGAGAAGAAAATTGAGGAGGAAAAAATCACACAAAAACGGGAAAAACCTTTGTGCAAAACCAACAGTTCAAAATCAAAGAAATATCCCTCGTTCCAAGATTCATGCCTGCATGTCTTATGCAGCACGTAGTACAACAGAAACATCAAGAAAAAATTCCAGAATTTGTTATTTCCCATTCAAGACACACACGACTTATGCCTGTTACATATGAACAGTTTGGTCAGCAGTTTCCAAAACAATGCTCTTCTACAGGTGTACAATCAACAGATCTCTCTACATTAGGTATCACCAACATTAGCTATCATCTATTAGTCTGTCTTGCTCATTAATAGTTCACATTTCTGAAACTTCATAAATCTGTTAAAAAATGGGAAGGAAAACCAATTATTTTGAATCCTTATTGAAAAGGAAAAAACAACAAAAAAAAGTTAGGCAGTCTTTTCAGAAACCTTAGTAATAGCCTCAGAACAAAAAAAAGATCATTACTTGCACAAGTGACTTTCCGCTATGACCCTTTAATTGGCAGAAACATGTAAAGAAAAAGGCTTTTCATGTGCATTCCGGAAGTTCAAAGGTCAACTCTACTGTGAGCGTAACAACAAAACAATAAATAAAGGAAGAGGCTTTTCTTAATTTGTTATTAGAAGAGTTACAGATCTGATGACCACAGGCACATTAACAAGCAGACACAAGGGGGCTTTTTTCTTTTCCATGCAATGCACTTATCTCATGCTCATGCATCTCACTTACTTTTTACTAGGATCTGACTCAATTAAGCGCCTAATTTCACTTTTGGGAGGTTGGAATCCAGAAGTATCAGAACTGCTGGATCTGAGGCAAGGTCAGGAATAAACAAAAACAAAATCACGGTGAAAAAAAAAACATCGTTTTTGACAGTTTGACTTCATGGCAGTCCATTTTTTTTTCACATGGCATGCACAGTATGTTGTGAGCATGAGATGTTTCATGTTGAAGTCTGGATTCCATGATGAGCGACAAAAGGAGAAGTGCACTGCACAATGGCCAATGGGGAGTCTATATGGAAGTTGACACATGTACACGGATGATGCGGATGACCATGGACTTCTTCTGTCAAGATCTTCTGTCAAGACATTTACAAAATCATATAATGTGGCGATGTGACACTCACTTTGATCAGGACAAAGCAAGCTGCTCTATTCTACGTTATATTTTTATCACTAACAGCAAGGGTCATGATAGGTTGGGTTTAAAAGTATTCAGATTTCACTGCACAATGTGGGTGAATGTATGGACCCTAAGACATTTTGTTTGTCAGCAACTGACAGGTATGGAAAGATATCTAACACAGTCTAAGCATGGATCTGGCAGATCTAAGAGCAGGGGACAACTGAGGCCATGAGCCCTATGACGGGCAAAAGCACATATTGTTCTTGAAACAGAATGAGGGCCAAGTATGAGAGACTATTTCAATTCCCATCCTTTGCAAATGGTGCAACCCCCCAAATCCCCCCCCCCAAAAAAAAGGCCACAAGGTTACATTAAGAAATTCCCCAAGTTCTCGGGTACTCCCAAAGAAATGTTCCCCACCCCCCCCCAAAAAAAATGGTTTCTGGATCAGCCTTCATGTAATAATTGTTGAGTCCTTATAACAATCACCAGCAAATCTCAACCTAAACATAGAGAGGCTCAACTTCAATGTCAACTCTTGAAGTTCATCCCATTCAGAAATTTCTCCAATGATATGGCTGGTATCTGACTCTATACCTGATGGACAGAGGCTATGTCTACACTTTAATAGCTTCTCACTGAGTGATATCAGTTGTCAATTGGGATGTGTCCGGAAGGAAGTACTGATACCACAAACTGGTTTAAATGTTCATACTCTTTGAAACGCTGTAGCTGATCCTTTTCTCATGGAAGCACAGTGACATTAGTAATGGCTGATGAGGTGGGGACAACAAAGAGGCTTTTTCTAATTAACAAATAAAAAAAAAACCTATAAAGCTGTCAATTCGTTTTTGGTTGAAACGAATTTGTGGTTTTTATTTTTGTTTGGATATCTGTGATCAATCTAAGTTGTCACAAGGTGGTATATCAATTAATACTGTCAATCATGCTCTACTTTGTGCACTTGAAAACATGGTGTAATTAAACAAGTGTTTTACTAACTTGAAAAGGATTATCTACAGGAAGGACTAGATTTAGTTTTAACTCCAAAGTTCAAATTTCAGAACCCCATCAGCTCTCAAATACAACAATAAGCAGAATTGTGTCAAGATTTATCAAGATTGCCTGTTGGGGATGTTTCAACTATATTAGTTTAACAATCAAAGTTATCAGTAGTGACATCCAACTGAATAAGTACTGGCAGCTGGTGAATGCCTATAAAGTGCAAAAGCTCCTGTGTATTTGGAAAAAGGTTAGCTGTTAGTTACACATACGAATGTGTATTTTCCTTGCATTGGGAAAAATGGAAGCGTGCAGTGTGTTGGTCCTGCATCATGTTTGCCTTCTACTCCATACCACTGAACAAATCGCTAACAAAATGTTGGTGACCTCAACACTTTTGGGAGGGTGCGGAGGTGGTTGTCTGTTTCTAGGTTTGTATGGGTCAGCTGCGATGAGAAGTGGCGGACTTACTGTGAGGCTGATGAGGAACTCGTATTGGAGCTGGCGGAAGCACTCTTGTTGCGAATCTGAACATCTCTGCTCTCCCTATCAAATCTGTGTGTGGAGAGGGGAACGTTGAATGTGAGAGATTTCGAGTCAAAGTTAACACGGTCCTTCCATCATCTGCCAACACTGGTGAACTTGGTTAAAACCCTAGCCAATGTCCCCATGTGGCCTTTTTGAAAGTATAAACCTGATTCCATAGCTTTCCTTTGCCAATCTCTCCCATCCTGTGCCCTCTTAATTATCTTCTCATCTCCCAAGCAGTGACTCAAAATAACTGCTCAATCTTCCATTCTACTTACCTAACTTATTTCCAGGGCAGTTTTCAAACAATCCATTGCCTGTCACCAGAGAGGGCCTTTCCATACAATATGTGTTGTCAAAAAATCCTTAGTTTTTTTTACAATATTAGACTCTTGAGAGAATTGTGAACCAAACTTCATAGTACCAACAAAATACACTCACATTTCATCTGCTCTCGCTAACGGAGGCCTTGTTATAGTGCTGGGTGCACCTTCATATGAAACAGGAGTAAAAAAGTTGTATTTAAATGTCAAACAAGAACGAACAAAGGGTAGAGACAGAATTGCTTCAATGCAAACAAAAAAACTGCACAGGTCTTGCGAGGAACAAATACACAGGTATAAACAACACACGTCAAGAACCAGAATGAACCAATAAGCAATAACACAACATGTCACAAAACTTCACAGTTTGGCAAGCCAAGAATACTTGCTCATGTATGCGATTTTGCAGAACTGTGCTGACATAATGTTAACATATTTCAAGCCCAATTGACACAGACAGCTTTGACTGCAAACAGAGTGTAAAAGACACAAAGACCAAGTGACAGACACTATGTGTGCACTGCAGCCGCCACCAAAGCTTAACACACTAATTACTTCTTCCACAAGAATACACCAGTCCCCCTTACATCAAGGGCAAAATATCATTGAACTGCAAAGCAGGGAAGATCTGCTGAAGACAAGGAACATTTTCTCGGCTATGTTTGCTATTCTTTGTTGTCAGGCCTCCATCCAACATTTTGGAGTGAAACTATTTACAGTGTGAGTATGCATCCTTCAAAATTGAAAGTCTGGCCAGAATTGACAAACAGCTCAAGTCCTTGGCAACAAAGGGGCAGATTGGGAAGACATAGTAAGTACGTAAATATACCATGCAATGCAAAGTTTGGTTAGTGGGGTAAAAGGCTAACACAAAGCAACAGAAGTACAACTCAAGGAGACTTAAAACTTCAAAGAAACAAATCTACAGGACTGAAAACAGTTAATTCTGACAAATTACGAGAAGGTGTAACGACCGTGTATCTTCCATCTTGCACAAATCACCATACATGTGTGGTATTACATCTCAACAACTTCTGAGTAAGACTTTCTGGTGTCTTAACACTGAAACAGCAGAGCCAGACTATTTAACAATTTTGAAGTAGGTGTCCCCTGATGAGCCAAACAACATGCCAAATATCATTCCAATGACATAACACAAAGAGAAACCTGCTAAACTCATCATTGCTTGCAGTTGAAAAGGGACATTTTCATGCAAACTTATAAGAAAAACAATGATACCCATCTATGTATTAAAAAAGAATAAGCTGCGTACTTGATGAGGATACTTTAAACAATTTCACTCTGCATCGAAACATCAAGATTTATCCATGAAAAAAGCAGCAACATCTACTTAGAGTGATTCCTGTCAGCTACAGACATGTTACGGTTAATAACTGTTGGTCATCTATAATATCGCCATGGTGAAAGGGATACTTTTTAACTCAGTCTGGCTACATGTCATTCCATATAAGCATAGTAACCCTGGGGCACAAGATAACCAGCCGACTGTGTAGTTAGTAATACCATAACATGCAAGGATCCAGTTATTGCTTTAACCAAAACTTGTCATCCACCAAGGAAGTCCAACAGCTTGTGGAAGGCCATCTAGTGGGCTATTTGATGGACTTTGTCACAAGTTGTGTCGGACTCAAGACAATATGGCAGAACCAAGACAAGGAAAAAACAAAGCAGCTATGGCAAAATGACACCAGGTTTTCTATGCTTGACTGTACAGAGTGATCAACAGGGTTTGTCAAGTGAAGCTCTCCAGGAAGCCAGAATTACTGCCTGAAATGATGTGACCATGTTTGGACAACACGTACAGTCCCCAAACAAAAAAAACAAAACCAAACTTTGGCAACGAAACAAAGTTACTGCACAATTTTCATGCACTAAACAAACTGTTCACTCATCCACAGCTTGTTGTTAGAATGGTAAATGACACAAAAGGCAGCCGGCCAGGTTACCTTCTGAAAGTCAACTGACTTTCAGAAGGTAGTCAACTGAGTTACCTTTGACAGGCTGAGCCAGATCACCTGGTTGCCTCAATATAGGCATGATAGACAACTGCCTGTTATCCTCAAGACTTCCAGGCAGACTCAACGGTGGTGTCTTGCCTGGTTTGCCAGGAAGAAGGATCAACAAGAAATTTGAAAGGAAAGTGAGAAGTTGTTATCAAGTCGTTTCAAAGTAATTCTTCAAGACAACTAACTTATCCTTTACAAGAGGTTCTGGGAAAGTTGGTCTTTTACAAGACCAAATACATGAAACACGTCGTCTCCTTAAACAATCACCAAAAAGGAGTGAAGAGAAACACTGAGAAAATTAAACCTATTTAATCTACTACTTTTAAATAGTTAATTCAGTATTATATTGGTTGTTTTAGGCCTACAGCTCAGGTTAGTATCCCCAACTTGCAAGTTTGCTATCACAACACAGGCAGCATATATTGACCCTGTGCACAGTGAATGTAGACATTGCATACCTACTACTTAAAAAAATGGATAACAAATGAAGAATACTTCTGTTGACAAGGGGGGTAATTTTGTATAATATTACCCAAGTTTAACATCCAGTTATATGTAGGCCGGTACACCCATCTAGTGTTCAGTCCTGACAGACACATGCACTTTCTTCTCACATTCAAATCATATTTTTTTTTCTGTTCTTGTTTCCAGGGCTAAAAGCTGTAGTGAACCTTGGAACAAGTCCTTGGTTTCTTATCATTAGATAGCCATACTACAGAAAGTATTATTGTCAGAGAGTGCCACTGTGCACAGGGCCAATGTGCTGATGTACAGAACGGCCAGCCAAGCACCTGATCAATTCTGAAGCTCATTCAGTATAACTGAACATATCACACACATATCAGCCTCAAGCATAGCAGTTAACACGCCATCATTCTGTAGCTTAATGCAATTTTCCACATTGAAGCAATAACACCGTAAGGCAGCCTCGGCCAACAGAAATCAAGACTGACTGAAAAAGAGCAGCTCCATCAAAACAAGATACATGTAGGATTATCAAATGCACAACGTTGAAAGAAATGGTGAACTCAATGCCATGATTAAAAAGCAAACGAGGCAATACAAATGCAAAAACAACAAGCCACAGAACACTCTATCTACAGTACCAGTCAAGGAAAAAATACAGGAAGGGAGATTCTTCTGTCTTCCAAATGTTTGGCCCATCTCAGGACAGCTAACTTCTTCGAAAGTTTTCTACGACCAACAGCAATTCTGTGAATATTCAAGATACTGCCAATACTGACTCCTACATTGAACAATGTTGAACAACTACTGCGAAATACACAGGCTGCAAGGCTTCTGTGGCTCTTAAAGTGCCATTCTTGCACCAAAAATTTTTCTCAAAGACACTATTAAATTCAACCATACTGGACATTCTTCAATGGAAGATTTTCAAAACGAGTGAGAAAACTCACTTCCGTTGACTGCCAGGTTTATGCAATTTACTTTGGAAGATGCTTACAAGTAGACTGACTAATTTCAGGAGAAACAGTTACAGCAGTGGAACCAGTTCAAAAGTCATGAGCAAGTTTTGAAAGTGAGTTGCACATGCACTATGGCAAGCCGAAGCCAGAGTATCCAGTTGGTTCATGAGTATTTGATGTGTCCTGATCACCTGCACATGACCATGGTTCCACTGCAGTAAACGCTGCAAGTTTTTATCACCAAACTAGTCTGTCATTGACACAAAGATCGAATTACACAAGAGCAAGAAAACTTACACGCGACAAAATGACACGATACTTGTACAACGGAAGAGCTAATATACACAATGCCATGCCATGCAACGTGGAACTTAAAACCAAAACTTCCAACTTGACATATGACCTCCCCAAGAAAGTAAATACCTCAAAAATATGAAGGATGTTAACAAACAAAGGAACTTCTAGGAGCGACAAAAAATGAGTCAATGCATAAAAAAGCTGAAGACTCAGTCATGTAAAAAAAACACTCTGATGCAGAGTGTTGGCATCTATAGTCTGCAATTTTCTTTTTACCGTGGTATGTGTGGTACTTGGGGTATTTCCGCATTTGAATGGACCTCCAGAAGACTGATGGCAATGGCAGCATTAATGGAGGGGGGGAAAAATGAGGGATAAGTCGAACAATTATGGACATGGGTGACAGGAGGGTGTAAAGAGAGGAAATATGAAAACAGGCAAGGAAATGTGGGGAGGGGGAGGTTAAAAATGGTGATATTGATTCGGGGAACAGTGTAAGTAGAAGATGATGGACAGTTGGACGGATGAAGCATGGATGGGCACATAGACAGAGGGTGGATGGGTTATAGTGGGATACAAGTAATGTGTGTGGACGGATCATGATTGATAAGTTGGTAAGATAAGTAGTGGATGGGTAAAATAAATAGTGGCGGATACATGTGGATACGTTGATGTGATACAAAAAGTAGGAAATGGTGGATTAATTTGAGTGGTTAATTAAACATGGAGATGTATGAACGGTTAATGGATGAGGTCGTCAAATATGTAAAGGAAAATATGAAAGAGATGAAATAAGCGGATGTAAGGACAACGCATGAAAAGCAATGAATCAACAAATTGTGGATTGATATTAAGGATAAAAATATTCAGGAGTAAAACCCCATGTAAAGAGATGAAGTACAGGTGGCAGATGCGGTAACAAAATCATAGTGTTCAACCATTTTCATGCAGAGGTTCAGAAGAGGGTGTGGGACCAATCAGAGATGGAGAAAGAGAGAGAGAGAGAGAAATGGAATGAAAGAAAAAAATGGCAAAGGGTTAGTAGATGATTGCACAGGTCATCAATGCGTATAGCAATGCAATGACAGATGTCAATCTTTCTCTTGGCAAACAAAAACCCAGATGTCAGAATTACTGACCATACACTTGAAAGGATGTAGGTATTTGTAATTCATGAAGAGAAGAATCCCTTCCCTTAATCCTCTTGTTTTTGGGTGGACAAGCTCTGCTCCGTGCAATTATGCATGAGTTTCAAGCTTTCTTTTTTTTCAGAGACTTGAAAACAAAAATGAAATCACCCATTTTTACTGCATCAGTCCAGACAGGAGACCAGACAGACCAGGAACCAGACTAGTAAAGGCATCCCAAAATAACTTGCATGCACGGAGCGAGCAAAAAGCCACATGCTAAAAATGCTCATTTTGCATTTGTTCTCTTCTTCTCACAAGCAGAGCTTTGCTATAAATGCATGCAGCATTTCAGTATCAAAAATATTCAGCCATTCTGTTTCCCATCTGTTAAGAATCTGCCCACACAACACAGAGATTACTGAAAATTAATTAAGCTCTAGTGCTTAAAGGGAATAGAGAGATTTAGAAATGATTATGTGATTTTCTTTTTCAGATAAGTAGTAATCATCCACCAAGAATCAGAGGCCCGAGACTTCCAAGGCACCAGGGATGCGGAACTGAAGACTCTTACAGAAAAAAACTTACACTGGGGCTCTGTCTGCCTCGTTAGTTTGGGAGTACCTTCCCCAGGTGCTTGGAGAGTTTGTATCAACAGGGTGAGCCTCGTTAGTTGGGTTGTACAAATGGTGTTCTTACAGAAAGAGTTGGTTTTGCAGACCTTCTTTAATCACTGCTCAATTCCTTTGGAATCTAGTTCAAATTTTGAGTTCTGCAAGTGAAACCACTGACAGTGATTCCTTGAAAGCACGGTCAAAATTGGTTGTAACATTTGGCATTCTATTCGGAATGGTCATCAGCCGATCAGCGCACTTAAAAAGCCTTGGGTATGACAAAGACAGCCAATGTCAGAGTAAACCAACTTGATAAACTGTCTCTTCAATTATAGAAATAATACTACCAGGCCTTTTCCCTATAGTTTAATCCACAGACAAACCCCCTAAGACCCTTCTAACCAAATAAAAAAAGGTCGAAGTCACGAGGCAAATCATGCTCATTCCTGGTACCAATCTCTTTATTACCCAGGGGAGAGGGCTGTCTCTCCTGCACTCGGTTGCCAAAGAAAAAAGTGTAAATTTTCCTGATGGAGGGTGGTGTGCCTCTGGGTAAGGAATCTAACCCTGAGAGGAAGTAAAGACATGGCAGTGGTATGTAACATTGAGACTTGGGCTTGGACCAACTATTAGATCAGCATAGAGGTGTTTACAGCTCGCATAAAATCAAACTGTTGAAAGACCGAAGTACTTCCAGATTTGGCCAACGTAGTCAGGATTATGTTTAAAGAGGCTTGACTGGAGTTTGGTTGTACAATGCATCCTGTACTTGAGGTTTTTCCAGAGTAAAAAAGAAACATGCGGGACATGTATGCTACATCGAACTGCCATTCTCAAAATATACCTCAAGGAGATAACAGAATATCCTTTGTAATTTGAAGTGAATTCCTTATTGGTCGTTATTCAGACTTATACTCAAGTCTACATGCCCTTGTTCAGACATAGATTTGGTGTTGTTGCTTGTAAGTGGTGTTCAATATCAATGCAGACTAAAAGTTTGATGATTGCGTGAAGGAAAGTGTCCAAAGCATCAAATAATCTGAGGAATTTAGACTTGGATGAGGACCCAGATTTAAAGGTCATGTTTCAGCTTGCAGTACTAGAGCATACGAATTTCAGGACTCCAATTTTGTTTGAGCAGCCAAAAGTTTTGAAAGCTGAAAAGCTTATGGACCCAGACAGTCAGTGTAAGGACAGGTACCCTAGTGTGCACCATACCCTCATTTACAACTCTTTCCAGTTTGACACAAGAACACTCAGCAGGTGGATCCTTACCTGTTGACAGTGAGTTGGCCTTCTTATTGGTTGGTGGTGAGGAGCTGGATGAGTGAGTTGAGATGGAGGACTGGGAGCTGATGGATTCCCGACTGCTGCTGGAACTGTACTGAGGTTCCACTGTAAGGTCAAGGGTGAGGATGGGTTTGGGGAAGACAAAAAATCAGGACAAAAATGCCTCACGTTCAGACAACACCTCTTTAAGATTTTGTTTCCAACAGACATGTGAACTGAATACAATTTTACTCTTCTGCACAACCTAACAGTGAACAGCCTAAACAGTGGCGGGGGTGGGGTTGAACCCAGAAGACAACCTTCAATCTGTGGCCACAGATGAAGCACGGCAGCGAGCAAAGATGCGAGAACTGCACTGGTTATTACTCATAGGTTTATCCCAGTTTGAAAATGGAGTGTTTCTGGTGGAAGTGAATGCAGTTTCTGCATGCTTCTTGTAAGCAAGATGAAAACTGGGGGGTTGGAACCTCTCTTAACCACTTGCCGCTAGGGACTCGGGTTTCGGGCACCGTGTGTTTATACGCGTGGCTGGGGTCTCCGAAAACGGACAAAGGGAACTGGGCCTTGTAACAAAAGACTCGGAACAAAAGACCAGGCTGCTGGGCATTACTGACATTTTTTCACTCTCAATAGTGGAGATAATCCAGCCTTGTTTTGCGAGCGGATTACCACCATGGACAAAAGCGCTCCAACACCGCAGCAATCAGCCACACAGCACCACTGCATGCTTATCAGGCCCCTATTGAAAAGAGGTCAGCAGCGCACTGTGCCAGGTTCATATACAAAAGAATGGTACATAACACCGCACAATCCAGGCCCTTTTTACAAGGCTGCAGGCCTGGCTGAAATACTCGGGCATCAATAGATTTTGTCTGTCAGACTAGAGTGGCCCCAAAACAGTAATTCATGTTGGTGTAAACGTCCATTAATTGAAATGATGAATTTTGAAAGAATTTTGAAAACTGAAAATCTTGAAAAAGTCCCGATTATGTGCACTGCTTTTTAAAACCACCCGGCAGCAAGTGGTTAAGGTGTGCAAGATTTTCTTTGCCCTTTTCCTTTTACAGAGTGCCAAGTGCACAGCCGAATAGTAAAAAAAAAAACTTGAACAAACAAAACAAGTAGAAATAATCATTTTGATGACAGAATGGATAAGTAGCGCTCGTCCTGCAAAATGTGAAATGCAAAGTCTGAATTTCAGAGGTTCGAACAAACTTTGACGCAAAGCATCTCCAATGTTTCTAAAAAATCTGGAAAATTAGGGTAGTGATCAGTATTGATGAGGTTATCAAACAATAAAAACAAAACTAATACTGAAAGATATATCAAAAACACTCCAAAAACAATACAAACAATTCACACACAGCGTTACAAGGGAAACATCTCAACGATAAGAGATACAAGTGTTTGTTGGAAGGGTGTAAGGGTGACAAGGTAACAATTAACAGACCGTGGAGAACAAATTTAGCATCCTCTGGGGGGGGGGGAATACCCTCTGAGGGGGAATAGAGCAATTCGGTAGGTGAAATCCATTCTGCGACAACATGAGAATGAGCAAGTTTAACACGTTTCATCAGGTAAAGAGTTTTTCATTTAAAAATTCCAATCCCATAATCCATTTCTGCATTTCTTGACTGTCCTGGCTTTTCAGTCTGAACTAATTCTAAGATTTCCACCGTCTTCATTTCCAGTGCACACCTCTAGGGACACAATTACCTACCTGAATTGAATTTGATTTTAGGTTGTTATTACATTTCCATGTTCTTTTTTTTACTTTTGTCTTTTAAATACAGTAAATGCAGGCATTAACAAACAAACCACGTCTACACGATTCTTCTTCAAATATGGAAAAAAAAATTCCCAGATGCACGCACGCGACAAAACATTGCACAAGAATGTACACCATTTTTCTTCAAGAAAAAAACTTCCATTGCCTTTCTTTATTTCATTCCCAGGCAAGACAGCAGTGTTCATGCATGCACACCAATGACACAAGGCATGCTTGATACCACAAGAGCATACAATCTGGCAGGCAAACACCAATACTCATGCTCCATCAATATGCATGCCATTAGTACTGTGGCTATAGTGAATGTTTATGGACGGTCCCTAGGGACCGAACAGTTATATTTCCTCATATAATATACACATTAAAGAGTATAAATCTGGTTCTATAATCTACAGATGTTCTGAGAAGTATCTGCTTTAAGTGAAATAATTTGAAATTCACACATATTTGCTTCTCAAATAGTAATATACGAAGAACAGTCTAATGAAGTGTGATTGTCTTCTGAGTACGTTGGCGAGAAAAGAATTGCAGACCTTTGCAAAGCTGGACATCAGTTGAAATTTATGCAGAAATTAGCTTATAAATATCTGGCACAAAGATAGCTCTCAAAAACGAGGAGCGTAGCATTTGCAACACCACCAATCAGCCACCCATAAAATTTCATCTTTCTTGGTGCTGTTTAGAAATTATATGCGTGTGCATTCTTACAGCACTCGTGAAAAGGTGACGAGAACGACCCCTTGCTTCTTGCCAAGGGTACCAGGAAAGCAAGCATCTACAATACTGTACTGCCAGGGTATCATCAAGGGCAAATCCAGGGATGGGAGGGGGGGTCATCTAGGCCATCCCCCACCCAAAAAAATTTCGGTAAAAGCCCCAAAGTGTAGCCTCACCCATCAGGAAGGCCATAGTAGGTTCCATGAAAAATTCCAACCCCCCCCAAAAAAAGCTTCGCAGGATCTGCCTTGGTAGCACTGAATTCTTCACTATTTTGCATAACTGCCATTCTGAAAGTTGGACAGTTATCTTAAGCAAAACTTTTTCTGGTTTGCATTTAACATTGTTTTTGTTATGGAAGACCGCATCTCCATTTTGGTGCAGGATGTTTCCAACACTTTAAAGTTTATAATCGCTCAACTCTTCATACTTATATTTCACATTCATTAGATTCCTATGTCTCATTTGATAAAGACTTTTCCATCGATTAGGGCAAAAACTAACAGAAAACTTCAGTTCAACACTGTTACATGCCAAAAAATGTAGGGGATTAAGTCAAAAAGGCAAACTAAACGGCAAAAGGTGAAAAGCCAAATGGAGAAAGCCCCAATAAGAGAGGAGTTAACTGACATTTTCTATTTTGGAAAAAATCAGCAATTTGTGAGACCAAAGAACAAATGCCAAAGAATGAGGGATCCAGTTTGAAAGCGGAGCGGTCAGTGCACTGAACATTGTGTAAGTGTTAACATGATCAAGCACCAGACAATGACAAGGGTGGAGGGGGAGAGAAAATAAACCACCACTTTGAGACAGACACGGCAAGCTAGCGGGAATGAGGCTGCGAGGGGCCAGATGGGTGGGTGATGACGGCAATGCAAGAACTACACACTTAAAAATCAAGCACAACTGGATATCTGCAGATGTCAGTCACTTGACTTGGGGCATGCAAATTTTCACTGCAAAGACCCTGGACAATTGTGCCATCAATTCCAAATGATACTGTTCTCCAGTGATGTTACTGTCCAAAACACTCCAACAAAACTGCCAGCTTCGGTTATTTTTCCAACAATCAAAAATGCAAACATAAAAAAAGCAAACAATAAACAAACAAAACAAAGAGACTTTTGGACAAAACACCCTTCCACAACATTTGTTTCAAATTTCCAGATTCCTTGCAAGCATATGCACCAAGTTTGACGTGAATTCTGCAGATAAACATGTATGCAAATAACCTGACGACACTGAAGTAATTTACTGAAAGTAATTTCTGATTTAAATGAAGAAACCAAACCTAAATTCAAAATGCAAAGGGCAGCATAGTCACGTCTTTACAAATAATCCACATTTTACCAAAGGCACACACTAAATCAAATTTCATTAACACGACACTGATGGATCTGTTACACGCCTATATCTTCATTTAAACTGAAGCTAACCTCACTTTGAGAATGAGTGGGAATGTACTCAGGAAAAAAATCCCCCCACCCTGAGATAACATTTACAACTTGATGTACCATAACATCCGATTAAAAAAACCCAATTTTTACCTCCTCCTTTCATGGCAGAAAATTAACAAGGTCCAAACGTCTGCATATCTTAGGCAGAGGTGCCTACTTCAAGGCCTGTTTCAAATTCACATTTTATTGAGTGTTGTTTTGAGAGATTTTAAGGGAAAAGTGCCTACCAGATAAATACATTATTTCAGGCAGTAATTCTCATTTCAATAAACTGAGTTTTGTAAATATTTGTACATAAAACGTCTACTTTTAAATATAAAAACCACTGAGTACAGGTTCATGGAAGATACACTTTTTAAACAAAGGAAGTTACAACATATGGAGACAACAGGCATGAGAAGATCATAAAAAATCTGCACAGATGAACGTATATGTATGCATTAAATACTGAACTTCTTAAGTACTGAACTGAAACAGTGATCATCCTTTGCTTGTGGAATTTACAAACGGCAACGAGGGCAGTTAAAAAACGGTTGGGACAAAACTACTGCATAATGCATGCCGCTTTGGTAAGTATACTGGTTTCAAACAAGAAAGCATTCACAGTAACTTGAATATTGGTGATGTGTACACAGCATGACAAGACAGACACTTTGAATGGCACAAACAGCACCTCACTTCAACATTTATGAGACATCATGGAAACAGTTTCTAAGTATGGTATCTATTTTTCAAAGTTCAATTCAACTAGACCCTACACTTTACTCACAGAAGATGAATCACAAACTACGGTTTATATAAATTATCTAAAGTCGTATTTCTTGGTGATCAAACAAATTTGTTAAAATGCTTAGCATCCACAAAGCTGGAACAAGCAACATTCCAAATAGGGAAAAAAACAAATCAGAACAAACGTGCCAAGGAACAAAATGAAACATGCAGAAGCAAAACCACGGGCAAGACCATGTATTTCCCCCAAGTGCTTTGTATGTGCGTGTTGGGAAGGAATGAGAGGGAGTCGTGGACACTGCAGGGAAGTGGACAGAACTTGGGTGAAATTGCAATGGAGGTCAAATTTTGACAGTGAAAATTTGAAAATTTTGAAAGTGAAGTGGGGTAAGAACTGGTAAATTTGGATGATCAGAAATGACAGGAATCAAATGTGAGCACAAAAATGGGATCCGTGGCTGGTTCTTAAAAATGGGAGTTCCATACAGAAACTTGAAAATGTGGAAACATCCTTGTGGTTAACGTTTTGGTTTTTTGCTTTTAAATTCTATTGCATTATGCAAGGGATTCAGATTTCAAACATTGGTTTGATCGGCACAGAATACCCCTGACACTCGCGATAATACTGGGGCCATGGCTTTCCTGCCGTTATTCTTTCGCAGCACCACATCACCGCTTGGGTCTGTGTTCCCATCCTTCTTGGGGCTGACCCCCTCATTGCTCTTAACACCCTCTTTGACCGGTGACATTGGCCGCTTGACCACCCTTGGGCTTTCCACTTTTCCCCCATCTCCGTTCTTCACTGTGGTCTCTTTCTCGGCTGGTGACGTATTGCCTTTACCAAGGCCCAATCCCATGCTTATCCCTACAATGCCTCGCACGCCGATATGCAAACCCTTGGCTACCCCGACATCCGCTGCAACCGCTTTTGCCCCTGGGTCCTTCTTTTCCAGGGGATTATGTGGGGAGGAGACCGGACTTTCGGGAGGAGTTTCATCAGCATACGGGTAGTCAACCTTAACAAAGCCCTCTAGCGGGCTCTTTGGGGAAGGGGTCTGGGCATTGCAATTCTTAGCATTAGCTAGTCCAAGGACAAGATGCTCAGGTTTTTTATTCAATAGTGGTTTAGGGTTTATTCCAGACTTACTGCTCCCGCTGTCAGAGGTTGGGTTTTGCGCTTTTTCCACCTGGTGGCCCACTCCCTTACCTTTCCTTAATGCATTTGCCCGACTAGGGGGTGTGTTGGTGTAATTCAAGGATTCATCATCAATGCTCTTCTTCCTGGGCGTGTCAAACTTTCCTATCAGCGTGCTGACCGGAGGGGATGTGGGAGGTGGCAAGGTGAGGGAAGACCGCCGGCGACCATCTCGGCCGATTGGGGAAGAGGTGTAATAGGGGGGGTTAGGAAGGGCAGCGGGTCTCGGCGGAGGGGTGACTTTCTCACCTGTTCGTCTGGGCGACTGGTCCCGCCCACCGGCCGATATCTGGGTGTGGTAGCCCCGGGTGGGCATGGGATCTGACCTGGACACCTGCTGTGGTTGCTGCTGCTTGCCGTTCCTGGGTGACATCTGCGTTGAGGAGGTGCTGGAGACGGACGAGGCAGTTGAGTTGGGGAGCACAGAGGTGGAAGGAGGAACAACGTTGCGAAACTGTGACCTGCCCCCGCTGTCTGGTGCCGTCTTAAAAATCTAGCGAGAAACGATGTTGATGTTAGTCAGCAGTGACATTTTCATGAGGACAACTTACGTAACAACATGGATTGAAAAAGAACTTTCAAAGGGCACCATAACCTTATCCTATCAACTGGTGCACAAGAAAACCTCAACAGCAACATGTCCATCAGGAACAAGACAGCAAACATTTTAACAGATTCTGTTCTTAAACACTTAATAGTCTTAGTGTCTAACCGTGATTTGAAAACACCTTGTACTGAATCTTGTAAGTGCTGCTGAATATAATTGGAAAGAAGCTTTGTGAGCCCTTGATGACCAATACAAAGGTGTAAATTATGGGTTAACGCAATTTGTAAAGTACTGCATTTACCAAAAGCCTAGTAAAGAACATGATTAAGATTCAAATTCAATGGGGGTCTCTGTTCCTCAGGGCTAACAGTTAATAGTCTTAATTGGGTATGTTTCATCATGTGGGAACATTTCATAATGTAAGGTACATCTTGCAAGTCCCTGTCATCTTTTGGGACAGTATCCCAACTTGGTTCAATTTCACCTGTCCGGTCAATCTCAATCACTCTGAAGTCCACCTACAACAGCAGTTCACCTTTTCATAGTGCCTGATGAGGATCTCGATGACAATGTTGGAGAACTTGATGTCCATGATGGCCTTCATTGTCTCCTCCTCCGGGCGCATCAACGTCGGCCCAAAGCACACGCCAAGGTTGGTCACCGTCATCAGGTTGACCTCAGAGTGGTCTGCCACCCTGATGAGCCAAGAACAGTTTGGCAAGGGTGTTAACATGACATCCTCTTTTGTCACATCAATAACGATTAAAAGTGTGGCATATGGCCATGGTTAATGGCTCCAGCTATAACTGGCCACTGAAGTTCCCATAATCACACCTTTAATTTCATTCCATCATCACACTAACACCGTTCAAAACATTTAAGAGAAACTTCTTCACTTGAGATATGAAGTTCCAAATAGAGCAAAGGTTGCCTAGGTTCTCAGCTATTTGTACATCTATGTATCGGCTTACCTCAAAAATGAAGCCGGTATACAATGCCAAAATAACACACCTGTACTGATGAGTGATGACATCACACTTTGACAGGTGCACCTTCCTATGGAGCCAGTGGAGCTTACAGTCCACTGAGCACCGTAGGGAAGCACACACAAAAACAAAGTGTAGCATCTGTAACAATTTGACAAGCCCGCGTTTAATGGGAATTACCGAACTGAGTGAATGATTTTAAAGAAAGATACCGCTAACTAATAAAGAATGCTAGCGGGGTGGAATAAGTACCTTCTTAAGTGAGCTATAAGAAGATCCAGCATTTCAAAATTGGGCTCGTCTAGTTGGTGGACGAGACCGTGGATGTCGTTCACTCTTAATGTTTTTGTCTCTTGCTCTGTGGACAAAAGACAAAAAGTCAACAACGTCAGAAATGGCTCAACAGATAATGTGCATCAAAACGGCACAGGAAATGGCTGAATGCCATTTTGCTACCTGGCAGTATGTAGGACAAATATGAAGACCTTTCCGCAGATCAGACAGTTAAACCAACAGGAAGGTAGGTAGACCTGTACAAATCTGTCCGACTGATGGTGCATAACACTTGAATGATGCCGTTGACCATCACGCTGAAACACTTTAGCACCAACTGAAAAGCTGAGTGCATACTGGACATCAAAATTCAATGCGAACACAAAAGAGAGCAGGTACCTTGTGAAGACTTGCTGGGTAACAGACTTATCAAGCAGCCACAATTTACATTAACTGCCATGACAGAACAAAATTAGAAATGGGCTTATCTGGATCATCTGATGGCAACTGGCAGCCATGCGCTACTTTGAAAATGTGGAATGCAGCCGTAAACTTCCAGAGACACACATGTCTAAGCAGTGTCTGAATTACATGGCTGGGGCTTGAATTCGACACGACTACATGGGAATCACTACAACCATTGTCACAGACTTGTGTGTAAGTGTGAGCTGCAGCCAAGTAAATCGGACAGAATTTTATACCCAAACACAAAAAACTTTGGATGTAGCTCCCTGGTGTGTGACTGTGGTTCTCAAATGGGTTATTTCCCAATTGGGCAAATGGTACTCACTTGCTGCAGCTATAAGCTGATCGTGCAGCCTGAATGACATCAGCGGCTCTGGCAAATTCCTGCAAAACAAAAAAAATAAAGTATAAGGGGTGAACAAGAGGATTAATCAAAGGGAAGCCATTTTGCTTTTGTTTTGTTTTTACCGATAGGGGAAATTGACAGGACTCAAGAGTTCAACTGTGGGGAAAATCCAAGACAAGATTAGCTTTTTTCCCTACCTGAAATAGTTCTTCAAAGCGCTGGTGATTGTCTTGATTTCCCATTCCCCTGAGTCGGACAAGTTGACATTCTGCGGCTTCCTCTTGTCTGCTTCAGACAATGGGAAGAACAATCAATTGTTACAACATAATCAATGGTTGCATCTACCGTGCTTCAACGTTGCATTCCTATATACAAGGGGGCCAAAAATACCTCTTACTTCTTGACAAGACTGCAGGGCATGAATTAGAAAAATATGTACCATAATCTAACACACCCACGACACTTAACATTTTCTGTGAAGCAGAATTTGTTATAAGAGCTTTCTACTTAAGTATCCAAACCAACGAGGTTTACTGTGAATTATATTGAATCTTGTGGGATTTGGCAGATATGTAAGGAGGGTTGAACTTACCAAGACAAAGAGATGTTAACCTCATGACTTTTGAGTTGACACCAACTACTCTGTACAGACCTTGGTCATCTAAACCTGGAACATTAAAGACAACAAATGAATACCTGGAATATTACTACCCCTTGAAACGTTCACAATGTATCATCCCTTGGAATTACGGTGTGAAAATGGATAATTTCTAGGGAGGAGAGGCTGTGTGGCCAACTCACCTCGACTCTCGATGGCTTCTATGCACTTCTTGATGAAATGGAAGCCTATGTCATTGAGCAAGTCTGTTGGAGAAGAAAGCGACAGCCACTCTTAGAAATTTCCAACGTCTTCAAATGAATGTTTTCCATTTCTGCGACTCGAGATGAAAACAACACAAAGATGGAATGCGTTTTTCTGTTACTTACTGTCGTCTTTCTTCGAGATGTGGGCCGGATTTATGTAAATCTGAAATAGAAATACGAACACAGGAGAACTCATCAGCAGGCCCAGGAAGATTACAGGGAACACAGATACTCGATGTCCTCATTTTACAGTGCTACTCTTACAGACTGAGGCTTGTAACAGTTGAGGCCATTATAATTCAAAAGACAGCCTTCACACTGCGCAAGACAGACATTTTATGAACTACTGAAAATGGCATAAGCCTACAATTATCACTGGATACCAACCTGGAAATGCAACAGTAAAAACCAGAAATGCTGGATTTTGAAAGTCTGCCTCTCTGAAAACTTAGCTTCGACCATCAACTGCAGAAAAGCTACTCCTGGTGCTACTATTGGTTGACACTTAGCAACAACTGGTCAAAGGTCAAATAGATCTGACATGTGCAAAACTGAGTCTGGTAACTCTAGGAAGACTGGCCCCACCATTTCTTGAGTTGCTTACCGGCTCCTTGCCTCCCATGGCTGTCATCCACTGTGTGCGTTCTCTCTCTGTGATTGCTTGTAATGTGATTATGTGAGGCCTGGGGGGATAAAGAAGAAGGCATGTTGGGTTACATGCAGTGGTTCTTCATGGGCTGTGGAGTAGATCTAGACCCCACCGGAGTACTTGCCCCAGAGATTGACATTCTTGGAGGACGAGGGTTGGATTTCTGCACAAAGGAGATGATCCTGTGACATTCCTACTGCACACCCTATTACTGTTCTTTTGAAACCCTTTCATAATTGAAAAGAATTCAAAAACAGAGGACCCCTCTCAACTCCAAACACTGGGAGTTTTTCTTATGATCACTCAGGTCATCCAGATCTCCCAGCAACTACACACAACAGATTTGCAAAAATATTCAACGCTAAGAACAAGCTCTGTGATTGTTTATCTACCTTCACCATGGTCAATTCAAAGGACATCATTAGTTTCAGGCTTACTTTTCCATGCTGTTGATATCAAAGCAGAATCGTTTCTCTATGGAGTCTGTCATTCGCCTTGTGCAGGATGTGACCGTTACCTTGTCCTCTGTTAACTGAGACAAAAAAGGGGGACAATATTGCTTGCCTGTTATTGGACACTTTTATCAGTGTACAGTCATCCCATGCTCAGACAGGTTGTAATGTATAAAGACAGATCCAAAATTGATGTTTTGGGTGGGCATCACATAAAACAAATTAAAACCCGACCGATTTCCTTTCATTCGAGGGAAATCATTGATTTAGCTTTTCCCTGGAGTCCGACAATAGATTTATTTTTGGAACTCGTTCACTGAGCCCCGATTCCTCAGGATCTGCTGACAGGCAAAAAGATTGTACAACATGGCGAGTCAGCGGTAGAGATACTTACTGGCCTGGGCAGTGTTTGGACAAAGGGAATCATCCTCAAAACTTTGGTTTCCTTGTTGTACCGACAGTAGTTCTTCACCCAGTTGGAGCCGAGTGCCCCTGCACATAACGACAAAGTTAGCACACGTTAAGCTTCAGCTTTGGATAATGTCGAGCAGTGCTACTTGTCATGGGATATATCTCAGGGAGAAAAAAAAAACACTGGTGAATAAAACACGAAAAATAAACTTGTGTCATTTGCTCTTAAATCTGTGGTCAGAAACCAAAACAAAAATAATGTATTAAATTACTGTACAGAGAGGGGGCCTGTTCAAATCAACTACAACGGTCAAATATTGTAGATTATCTTCTGGAACAAATATTTTCATTTGAAAACTGTTAGTCGGCTGCTCATACATATTTAGTACACTTTTGGTCTGTGAAAGGAAAATGATCCAAGCACTGTGGTCAGTTGTGAAAAATTTTAAGTATGTTTTGCTGTAGAGCTCCATGATTTGGTCTCAAAATTTCAATCACAGCGTGTTGAATTGGTAACACTTACTTTTCTCGTAGATGTATAGGTAGCCTTCTTGAATTTTGTTGGACTTCAGTTGTTCATGAGGTTTCTGGAAAAAAAAACCAACAACATTTGGTCTTTTTCACAGCAAAAACTTGATGATCAAGCAATGGATTTTGTTAATTGAAGAAAAAAGCAACACCATTTCTTAGACATGAAGCTTTTTGGGTACTTTCATAGTAAACAATGAGAGAAACTGTGAAAAAATAACTTTGGCCAACTCTAAAATTGAACATTTCCTACAGTTCAATCACAGAGTAACTCCTACAGTTCATTATGCCCCCTTTGGTTTGCAAGGTGAGATCTCATGCACCGGTAGTACACTGGCCATGTGCATGTTAGCTGCGGCTGGGCCAGGTAGTGGTTAAACCTATTTCAATTTGTGCCATTGCTAGCCCTAGCCTGGCAATTCAGACACATCCTGTGTCTCAGTGTTCTGCCAACCCCACCTTAGTCAGGGACTGTGGCAGGGTGCAGCCACTGACATACATGTACTCAATACATTGTCATGCATGTACATGTAGGCACATGTGGGATGTATCACAGAGTGCTATCATGATCTCTACCTGTAAGGTATGTCATGTTGCAAGATGGCTCTGGTGTTCAAAATGATTGGCTGGGTTAGTAGATACATGTGCCTGCGTGTGCGTGCCACGAATAGCCATGGTGGAACAGGTGTGATAATATGAGGGGTCAGTTGGGGTCAGGTACTATTAAAACGCAATTGGCTTCAGGAAACTTTGTGTTTACAATATTTTGGTGACACTGTTTTTATTATACACAGGCAGGTCCCAGTTTCTTCGGTTTGTCTAAACATGAAACAGACATGAAACAATAAGATACCATCCACCTGTAACACAGAAATACCAAAGTTAATCACCATATACCAGTACATATATTCCCCTTGACCTTGCCAGCATGAATTCTGCCAACCACTGCTCAGTAGCAGTGCGAAACTTTTTTAAAGTAAAATTTCTGAAAAAAGTTTTGAATGTTTTCCTGATATTAGTCAGTCCAACCATAGAAAAGGATATAAGGTCCTTTTTTTTTTCTAAGAACTGCATTTTTCCAACTTGTTAACCCTACACCAACGGAAAGAGAGTTTTGAAGCTAATGTGAAAGAAAGTGCACTTTTCTCAGATCCATTTTTTTCTTTCAGTGGGTGTGGCATGTGGGTGTGGCATGCAGCATGCAAGAAGACAACAAAGGGGAACGATTATACACACCCTCACCTCCATCATCTTATTCATCAGAGTCTCCGCCTCTTGCTTGGTCATGTCAAACCCGGCCCGAATCTGCCAATACAAGAGAGTATAAAGCAGGTGTGGTCTAAATGACTGAGCGGAAGGGCATGTGGAAAACCTCATCCAAGTTTCATAACTTACTTGTCCTCTTCTTCAAATCTGGGCCACTCCCCCATCCCTCAGTCCACTTAAAGAATAGCAACACTTCTGTCATTTTCATCAATCATAATTCAATGGTAATTTACTGTTCACAAATCTTTGGCCTTCGCACTGTTCCACCTTTCTCCTCTTCAGGTGGGCACACAATGCTGTTTTACTACAAGAGGACCTTGGTGGTACCATCTCACAAGTGCATAAGGGGTCATGGATGCGTTAAAAATTTCAGCCAGCAACGACACGTTCAGAACTTACATTCTGCAACTTGAGCTGCAGCTCTGTCATGTACGGCTTGAACTCCCTGGCCACCTCATGACCTGACCATGAAAAAGTAATCACATACGTCAGATTTCAGTCACAGACAACTGCATGGACAACAACACTGATTGCAAAAGGTGAGCACGTAAACTACCGCAACAGAGACAAAACCCCTATCCAGCTAGGAGAGGATTTTGAAACTTGGCAAACAGCATGAATCCCATAAGCTCATTCATTCTTGAGAATGTTTTACGAGTTCTACAGAATCCTTCAAAAGGCCTTTTCACGCTGCAGAGCCAATCTCCAGGAAGTAAATCCCCGGAAAAATCCCTGGGATTTTTTACCCCACCAAAACCCCAGCAACCGTTCACACCAGACCCATTTGGTAACTCCCAGGGACACTATTTCCCAGGAATATGCACGTTTTTTTCACACTGGCAATCAAACCCTCAGAAATGTGCAAATGGAGGGTACCCATCCAGAAGTTCCCGAATGACTTGTGGACAGAAGTCCAATCTGGCAATGCTCCGCGTACATGCACAAGCTGCTGTTGTTTACGTCGCGCAATTCCAAGGTGATGTTGTGAGTTTGAAAGGTACTGCATTACAATACTAAATTACTGCGCCAATTACATAGTGCGTTATTTGTGACCCTGTGACCTTTCGAGATTACGGCTCAACACACTAGCCGTTGACGCAAAAAGGTGGGGTACGTTCAAACCGACCGAAGTTCACACTTGTTGCTTTTCCCCGGGAAAACATTCCGGGGTTTACTCCTTCAACCCCACTCCCGCGCAGGGGTAAATATTCCCCGGGAAAACCTTTTCCCTGTGAATTTCTTTGGCTGTGTGAACAGACCGACCAAAATTCCCCGAGAATTTCCCAGGGAATTCGTCTAGTGTGAAAGCCCCTACAGAAAACTGACTTGACCAATAACATACAGGCTATCAGTCAACAAGCTCTTCGGCTGATTGCCCTTACTGTGCAATTTCTCATATATCCACTTCATAAACCTGATAGGAACAAAATGTGCTAAGCATATACATTTGTAAAAACTTGGAAAAGCCAAAAACAAGTTATTGCCAAACAAATCAAGACCTATATATTGCATGTTACAGGTGCAGGTATATAACCAGCAGATAGCTTATTTCATAAAAAAAATCCACCATGCTGGTTTTGTGTTTTTGTTTAACCTTTTAACCCTTAACATTTGCTTAGCAATTCTGCCAAATTGGACCCTAATATATTCCCCGAACAGAGTCTGTTTACCTTGATGGTAGAACGTCAGCCAGCTGTACATGAATCCCAATAACTGTGCACACAGAAAAAAGAACAAAGTCAACCAATCTCTGGGTTAATCAGTTATGAAATGCCTGTGACACATTGCCCGTTTGTTCGGTGGTGAAGTGATGAATCGCTGACCAAAACCTGCTGGAACCACTCAACCGTGTTTACAGACTGACTAATGATAGATATGGATTCAAACCTCAACAGTTGGTTGCTGTTCAGCTGGAAAGGGCAAGCATGTGTCATCAGTCATCTGCAGGATTGGGGGTTTTTCCTCAATTGTGTGGCTTTTATAATAACGTGAATACAACGACAAAAGATGGATATTGCAGTGGGTAAAAAAAGGGCTTCTAAAGAACAGTAAGATCCTACATTTATATGCAGTAATGGTGTCAAAAACTGCTTGCCTATATTTGGGAAGCACGTATGCACACGTGCAACATTCTTGTTAAAGGTTGCTTGTCACAGGAAAGAAATGCTTATTTCCTCATTTAGAATTATGACCAAAGAGCATGTGATACAGCTTCCTTCTCAACGGGGGAGGGACTTTCTTTTTGCAAGTCATCAAAGTCATGTGTCAGACAGCTTTGGACAATCTGTTTAGGAGAACAGCAGTGGATAGACATACGTGTGCGTGGAAACCCAAATGGGATTCTCACTGTACATACACAGTGTCTGTACGTTAAATGATTCTTCAATCGGCAGGGTAATGTGGCTAGCCAAATTGCACACGGGTCTCAAATTTAAGACTGATTGCGGCGTGCACGACAGTATGGTGCCATCGCGGTAATGGTGTCTCCTTGGATAAGTCTTCATGGCCAGCACTAAATATGCCAAGAATCTAACAGAATATCAGTTCCACCATGTATAGTCATGGTGTAGTAATGTTCAGATCGGAGGAAAGGCAGTATGAACTAAGACTAGTCTGTTTTCATTATCCCTACGCATTGCCTTAATACTGAGAGACTGCTACATGAAGGAAGTTCTGACTTGTAACTTCACTGGCCCTACACAATAAGTGTTGACTGCTGCCACCATAATGGAGTCTACCTTTGAATAATTCTAATTGACATATACATGTAACTTGTTCAGTTTCAAAGGAACCAGTAAACTAGAATGCATCTCCTCATTGCAAGGGCACATTTATATGTTGAATTTGACCACTAAGACAGAAAAAGCAATCTGGTAATCTGATAACGGCAAACCTACATGTACCAGCAGCATGCATCATTGTTTTGGACAACACGCCCGTGCACGACAGGATCGACACGCTGGGTACAACGTGGCACTAAAATGTGATTACTCAATGTTAACAGTCATATGGTGCACTTAGATTCAAAATGTTTCCAAAAATAAGAGTTATACATGTGCACTGTGTACAACAGGATTTACAGTAATAATGCAATGATTCACTAACTGTGGCAGCTGATTTATGCACGTAGATCTTGTACGATGGAAAACCAACAGGCAACTTGCTGATTTTTCACCCCAAGTGAACAAAGCAAAAAAAGTTTGTGCTGGATCTGGTAGAAATTTTTTTCTTACAATACAGATAGTAGCCAGATATGAATACAACTCCATCTTCACTGGAATAAAATGCCTGTCATTGCTAGTTCAATATTTTGCATTTTTTGTGGGTACATCTAGCTTTGATGTCTCCATGTGAAAATGACTGAGTTTTCAACTGTGACAAGAAGCATGAGCATGTACCAGTCAGTATTAAGAGTCATCCAGCTAACTTTCCACTCCAAAATCTCGACTTCAGCAATAGCAGAAATTTTGTCAACGAAGGTTGAATGGCACTTTGTATTTCTAAATTTTAGCATGTCTCTTTACAATAAATTCTACCACCAACCTAGGTCAAAGATGCACGCATCGATATACTAAAGGGACAGGATTTTTAAAGGAGTACATGTAAGTCAGAATGTACACATACATGTATGGTCTATGCAGTGCGTACATATAATCAATAACGCCACATGGTGTGCTTATCAGAACACAGGATGAGAGTGACTGATTTTAGATGAACTCAAACTCAGTCTTCTTTTCAGTGTTGTTCACTTTTTTTCATGTAAAAAAATAAGCGCTGCAGCTCCTTTACATTCGAAGAAGACTGCTCACAGAAAACATGTCTTAATGTGAAAGTAATGACTTCTGTCAATTTTCTCACATCAACTACACAGGCGATTACACAGTTAACCAGCCTTCAAACGGCCACAGACAGAATGGCAGTGAATGAAGTACAGGCAGCATCACTTTAAAGATTGCTTTCCGGCTAATGCAAATACATTTGCTTGGGGAGGGGGAGGGATAAACTGAGTAAGGATAGAGTGACTTGAAAGGGGCAAAACATATGACTAGAGGATTCAAACCCCTGATCCTCTGCACAGGAGAGGCAAAATACTAACATGCTGCACTCCCTTGACTAGACACCAGCGATGAGGTGTGTCTGGTATGCACGGAGCTTGCCCAAAGTCCAGTTCTTCTTGCCTCAGGGACCTGAAAGCCAGATCCAAAGATCTGAATTCTGATGGAAGTCTGAAAAAGCTGGTAGCTACACTTACCGTCTCCACAAACTCAAACTTCTTCTTCTCCTGGACCTCTTGCAGGATGCGGGCGTACATCAGGGACTCTCGGTGAAACTCTCTCCTCTCCAACTCCAGGGCTGCATCAGCCTGGGTATCAAAGAGACACGTTATGACTAGAGACCAACCCCTGGTATTCTCTAATATTGAAGGTACATGTGCCTCCCCCTTTGGAGTCTCCAAACCGCACACAAATCTGAAGAAATAAATCACTCGAAACACACGAATCCTTAAAACAGCTAATTTCTGAAACCATCACCTTGCCATGCAAAGACGGACTTCATTGGACCTCATTATATAAGCTCAGACACACTGCTGCTTAATACAACAGCCTCCCCCAATCCAATGAAGCTTTTTTACTATTACAGTAGATAATGACGTCACATCTAAGCTCATGAATGAGTACTTTTTTTGTGTAAAGGCAACAAAGCAATTCAGAGTTTTCACGACCAATATCAGAAATGTGACATTTTCAAACAAAAAAGAAGTAAAATAAAACTGCCAATAATGATGCTTCTGCTCTTTTCCCTTTCAGGATTCAACTAAGCTTCCAAGAACTTTCCAGGCAGGAGTCTTCTCTGTACCACCCTGACATCTTGTATCCTTGCTCTCACCTCCTGCAGAGAAGTCTCCTTCTTCTTCGTTGTCAGGCCAACGTGGTTATCCAGCGACTTGCAGAACTTCTCTGTCTGCTTCTCAAACTGCTTCTTGGCCTCCTGAGGGAGGGAACAGAACAATGAATTCCACTTCAATCACTAAGGAAAAACATTTTGCCACATTTGTTTCCCTTCTGTTTTTGTTGACTGTCTGCAGATTGCTTCATATCACTGTTGTGATTGTTGTTGATTTAAAATTGAGAATCTTCCTTCTGAAATCATGTTAAGCAAATGAATATGTGGAACTCTAATGTCTTTCATACAAAATTCCCTTTTGGGCAAAACTGTTATGGAATTATCAGGTATCTTCAGGTATCAGGATTGTTGTTATACCGGTAGATGTAATTTCAGGGATCATCACAAACTTTGTTATTCTATAACTTCTATTAGTACCTGGTACCTCTTAGCTTTATGTGTGTGGGAAGTCTTGGTAAATGTAGACTAGGGTAATAAATGAGCATTGTAGATTATTATTTACCAAAGGGAAAACCCTTTTGCCAAAATATTACTGAAAGTTAAATTTTTTTTTAAACAGGTCAGATATCATTAGGGGTCTCATGAGGCAAAAAAATAACATGGACAGTAAGGTAGGGAGAGGAACCAAAAAATAGAACATCTGTTTGAACAAAATTGCTGCAGCAGCTAAATATTAACGGTGGCACTCCTTTAAAACAAACCTTATATAAACAACTGACCCAAACTAAAAGATTCATAAAAATGGGACTCCAAATATGAACATTTTAAGGGATCCATGACATGAAATCCTCTTGGACTCACATTTTGTGCATCTTTGTATTCTTCATCAGTATATAAAAACTGTTTGAAATCCTTTTGCACAGCGACTACCATCTCTGGAATGGACTGGTTCCTTTGTACCTTTCTTATCCATTGAAAACAGTGTATTGGTGCAAAGCGTCTCTTATGTAACTAAAAAGCTTACCCCAATCAGGACGTAAAGCAACAGTGTCTTTTGCACAGGGAATTCAAATTATATTCATGTGAATTTCAAGAACTCAGCGTGTGCCAGATTTTATTCAAATTTAACTCATAAAAGTCTTATTTGCCAGAGAATTGGAAATTCATCACAGAAAACAAGAATTCCAGCAGTTTTTGTGGACAAATCAATGGAACAATGAGGCTCAGTGCCTGGGATGACATCATGTAGATATTGCTCATGAATATGCAAATTTTCATTTGCATAAAACAAAAAAGAAGGGCACCAAAATACACCAAAAAATAACAAAACAAAAAATAGAAAATCATGTTAATTGAAACACATTTCGGAGCAATTTCAAGGGTTGTGGTAAAATAATTGTCATTTGCTTACCCCAAGCTCTTTTGGCACAGGGCAATGGTCTTACAGAGGAGAGGTAAAAGACTCTGTTGAAAAAAAAACAAAAGCACTTGACACTGCGTAGTAAGTTCAGGACCTACCTTTGCTGAGCCAATCTGGTCCTTGCGAAAGGCTTCCAGAGGGACAATGAGCTGATCCTTGGCATGTTCCAGCTTCAAAACAAAGAATTCACAACACATAATAAAATTGAAAAAAATCAAAATTGAAAAAAAAAAAATTATATACATGTAACAGAGAGAATAACGTACATAAGATGCGTACATTTCCTGTACAGGAAAAGTTAACCATTTCCTATTGTATAGCTAAAAGACCATATTTCCCATTTAAATCGTTACCACTACCAATGAGTACTCATTAATTTATAAATGGCTGTATCAAATTGCCACCTGTATGTATTTGTTGTTGTTGCATTAAAAGTGTTGTTCATCATGTTTGAGTTAATTATGGTATATGTGAGTGTGTATGCCAGTATTTGTGGTATTTATGTATTATTATTGCATTAATATTGCATTGAGGGACACTGTGTATGTACTTGTACATGTATGTGCGTGTTTACAAGTGTTGGATCTTGACTTTTTAACTTTTTTTTAGAAGTTTTGCTTGACTGCCCACAGGGTGAGCAATGGGAAAACTGAACTCTTGAAATCTAGATGACTGGATGTGCAGTGTGGGCAGTCATGTGGCCCATGATTTGCACTGACACTGATTAAGGAACAATCAATGCCACCAGCAATTACACAGCCTAAGACCCATCACTCAACACATCTTCATTTCCAGTTTTACAATGGCAATAAGTAAGTGTCCTACTTTAAGTAATAAAACACAGCAGACGCACAGATGTACATGTACAAGTTCATGTAGCAGGGAATAGTAGCAGTATACTCCAGCCGAGGGTCGTGAGAAAGGTCATGCTCGTGGAATGCCATGGCATTCTTCCAACAATCACCCACTTGGCAGAGCAATTGCTCTCAAGATTTCAAGATCCAGGAAGTAATACTGACTAGTCAAGTTAAACTTTTCCTTTCTAAGTGTATAGGCCATTCTTAAATGTTCCTCAAAAAAAGAAATTACTCAGAAAAATTACGAGCTTACCCCAGAGCAGAACCATTAGTGCATGTACATGTAGTTGTGAGCAATTGTTGTAACAAGGTGCAGACCTTTAATAATAAAATCTACATTAAATACTAAAAACTGGGAAATGCGGTCCATGTATGTCTGAGCTTTCATGTACAGTACATGTACATGTAGTTTTCACAGAATGTGTGGGTTCTTCCATAGAAGCCGAAGTTGCTAGAACTGCAGGCTACTGAACTTCTCAGTGGAGTGACTCACAGTACAGAGGCCAAGGGGCTGAGCACACATTCCTGTGGCCAACACTGTTCTTGTACCAGGTGAAAAGTTACCAGGCACACCCCGCCTGCAGAATACAGAAATTGTGCTTGGCAGGAGCATGTGTAGCAGCCATGATGTTGTGGATTGTGTACTGCGTGTCACAGGCTAACACACCACGGTTTACAGTGGACACCCAGCAGTATGGACATTCCTTTTTTGTGTTGTTTAGAAAACATGATAACATCACTAATTTTTCTTTGACTGTAGAAAAGTATTTCAAATTGGTGTTTTGTTGATGGTTTCCTTCACTGTTCCTCTTCCTTTTGTTCTGCACATCCCTGACACTAAAATGCCTCCAAGCCAGTTTTTTAGAGGGGGGGAATCTTGTGTGGACCTGGCTTAGTCCACAGAAGGTTCACACAACCTGTGTTGAGTGGACCTCTTTTGTGTACGGGTCTACACTCCTAGTAGGTACATGTACATGTGTGTGATGTTGGCACACAAGTTCCATTCATTACTCTACACAGTAGTAATTTTCTGCCTATTCAAATGTCCAATCAACTGAGCCCTGAAGTACGCTTTGATGCCTCTCAGAATTTTTCAGAGACAGCTTTCACTTTTACATACTTGATCTCTACATAAAAAAAATTCCATTTCCAAGCTGACTTTCAAGCCAAATTTTCAAAGGAACAGTGTTCATTTATTGGAAATTATGTTCCTCAACTTTTAAGGACTTATTTTAAATGAAGTCACACCATTATTGTTATTAATTGGAACTCAAGCATTCTTCAATATGTGAAGTCATCTACAAAAGATAAAATAAAAATGGCAAATACTTGTATATCCCAACATGGAAATGTCATCCAACCCTGGCCATGTGATAAAAAGTTAAAGGAGTCAAATAAAGCTTCTCTCTTCACCACAATATATAACCACAAGAGTTTCACCATAGAGCAAGGAAACAGCCCTATGGTTTCACTCACATGTACTCATACATAACTGGAAGTATTGATTTCCCCACCATGACCCTATCATTGTTATTTTTGAGAGAAGAATAACGTAGCCCTGTAGTTTGAAATGGCAATAAAACCAAATCAAAACCAACCCACATCATACCAAAGGAAGTGCATTCTATTTGGTGATAGATCTCTATCACATACATATTAGTATGTGGGTCCTAAATGAGGCAGAGATGTACATGTTCTTCGCAACAGGATATGGGGAATTGTGCTGGAATGGAACGTGTATAATGAGATATTTGCCTCAGTAAATCACCTAAAAGAGGTTGTTTTGAAATCGTGGCTCACTGACTGCGAGCCCTGTCATTAAAGTAGGGGTACTTGTGTGTCAGAAAAACGCTGGGGTGCTGGGATTTCATGGATGAATGACCAAATGGCCAGCAAAATGCCCATCAGTCAAAACAACACTGTGTATGTGTACATTGTAGACATACCGTGTATTTGGTAGATACGTGTATATGGTTAGTTGCAACAATTCATTAACTGCAGTGAGAAATCAGAAAGACCTCAAGGAAAAAGGGGCAGCCTGAACATGCACACCATTGAAAGTGTGAAAGGAATTTCAGAACTCACTACAAGGATATGGAAGGTTGGATCATTCTGGTAGAACTGCTGCCACTACATGTACATATGTACATGTCAAACTGACAGGCTCTACACTCCAGTAATTACAGTGCCCACGCTAGTCAACAGAAGTATCCGGTTCATTTCCAATCAAGTTACCTGCAAAATCTCCCCACAAAGCTCACTAACTGAACAGTATCAATATATGTACTAATACTTTAATACTTGTCATTACAAATAGATATTTAACTAATCAGGCAGGCTACTCCACATACATGTACATGTATACACCGTACAACATGTACTGTACATATTTTTTGTGGCATAAAGTCGAACCTCGTTAATACATATGTAAGAGCACTGTTAATACGAGATTCTGCTCATAACAAGGAAATGTTTTGGTCCCAATCCTTTCTTTTTATTCCTGATAATACAAGGTTCCTGTTATAACAAGGTACACGTACTTTGCCAAGTCTGAAGGACATCTTATTAATGAAGTTCAACTGTACTGTGCAATAAATGTTCATTAGTGCATATCAAAATGATACACTTGCTCCTCTTTAAGTAATGTACCGGTACACGTACATATAAATAACTACATGTATAGATGTGTGTGTAGACCTACATGTATGAATGTGAACATGTACATGTACGAAAGTACCCATCGTGAATTATGCCACACACTGGTGGCAATAGGTAGGCAAATGTTCCTTCATGTACACGTAGTCATACAATGTACAGTGCAATATGTCTGAATATGTCAGAATGGAATCCTAACCATTTTGGAATGACGGAGGCTGCCCAGCTTGGAATCACACCAGAATGCCCTACACCAAACCAGAACAAGGATCTCGTTGGAATAAACTAGACAGCCTTACTTTCAAACCCCAGTAATCCTTCTACATCAAAGGACCATTTGGCAATTGCTGTGTTTATTGTTTCAGCAAATACTAGGTACTTGTACATGGCGTTGACATCAGAACACAAGCGATACGACAAGGGAACCACTCCAATGGTATCCTCAAGATACACATTAACTAAGGTGTCTAATATGAAGGGATTACATAGGGATGAACTGGAAAGTGTTCAGGGCGTTTTTCAACTTTTTGTAGGATATTGAAAAGATGCAGTTTGTAGTGCACTCAGAAGTCATTTTTTTAACACTGAAATGAATTGTATTGAACACATTTATCAGGCAAATGCACAAAATTTTTAATGCCTGACAAGCAATCAGTTTCTGTGCACAGTACATGTACAACCAACTAGTTGCTGATCAAATGTGACTGGATCTCACAAAATGAGGCTCTAGGTTTTGATGTTTCATTCAGTTTGGCATTCTGATGAAACTGTTTGTTACGTACATAGGTTAAAAATGTAGAAGTACTGATTTCCATTATGAAGGAATCTTATACTACAAGCATTGCTAAAAGGAGTCCTGGTGACTTCAGACTGGTTTTGTTACATGTAAGTTGGGTCATAAAATATTATGGAATACCAAAGCTCTGGATGCTCACCATGCGATCTCGTTCATCTTCGATGGATGCGATGAGCCTCCCAAACTCCTTCAGAGATTGTGCTGAAGCGAAATACACAGAGCAGAACAAAAGCATGAAGGCAAATATATCATCAAACACTCTGAGGGTAAACCCTGAAGCTTTGAATGAGAAATTCTCTTTAAGTGTTTTTTCTTGTCATCAGAACAGAGCAAGAAGTAGGGTTTTGCTTCTAGATGTTTTATTTTATTTTGGAGGGTGGAGGGGTATGTGTTTTTCCCCTTTTTTCATGAAACCCCAATTGGAGCTTTATTGGCAGAAGAATGGTTGGAGAACATTCATCCATTTTCCACCTGTCCCATCTGTAATGCTGGAATGTTGATTGCAAATGGCAGGCCAGAATTTCTGATCTCTGTTAAAGAATCCCCATAAATGCTAGATAATGATATACTATACAACAGTGAAACTGATATGAAATGAAAATGAAAATAAATCCGGATGTATATACACACAATATGGTTGTGCATATTTCCGTGTGCCACAGAGTTATGCACATGTATGGTACATGTTATCAGGCACAACCACACCTGACTTCAATTAAATTGTAACCTCACATTCATATTTCTCCCAGGCAGGTACATGTATATTCACCTGATCACTGCTAGAACTGCTTCAAATCATTATATTCCTATCCCATTACAACTAGACTTAAGGGCTATTTCCTTTTCATGTGACCTTAACTGTTGACCTTACATGTAAATGATTGACCCATCTTTGACACATCTTAACCCTAAATTCTTCGGTTAAATTTGCAGAACTGTTGTTTCATGTACATCACGTGACTTAAGGCAAGTGCTTGAATTACACACACAGGGTTTACAAATTTTTTTTAAAAATACAAATCTACAATGCATACGTACATGTATATATTGGGTTTATAGTAACGATGTTCTGATTTCATGTTGCCTGCTGTCAAAGGTCCGCTTTCCATTACACAGCAGACAGGAAATGCCCAACCTCACCTACTACAAGCAATAATGCGTAGGTCTGGTTTATGACGCTTGACATGGTGCAATGTCTGACAACTTGCAAAATACTAACGCCTCAGTGAGGACTCATACACATTTTGTTTTTCTGAATGAAACATGTGTGTGTGTGCTACTCTTATTGTTCATGTGTTACAAATTCATTTCCTACAGTGAAGTTACATGTACATGGTGTATGCGTAAGTAACATGTTGATACTTGAGTGGCCGTATTGTACACATGTACTGTACACATACACTGTACATGTACATGCATGTATATCAGCATACATGTAATTGGTAATCCATTATAAAGGTGCCAATCAAAATGACTGTAAATGTAATCTCTAAACATGTTGAATACATGTACATGTAGGCCATTCAATGTTACACAGGTGGAGAGCATGTATGGGGTACTAGCACATCAATCATAATGCCACTTGACATTGTCTTTGGACATCACGCAAAAAAACCAGTTCATGCCCCTCAGTATATAGAATGTAGGTCCCTTGAAACTCTATATGAAACTGAAGGGCCTCACCTTCAACTGTTCACCCCAGTAAAACCCACAAAATACTTCCTGTGATATCAGGCTATCCAAGCAAAATAACCCCCCCCAAAAAAAGTTAACACAATTCCTACATGGAGCTTTTAATTGGGGAGCCCACAGCAACATCAAATGTGACTCCTCCACACAGAAATGAAATGAACAAATCTCTCTAAGATTTCAGGAACATCATCTACCCTGAAAGGATTGACTTGCAGGGAGGAAGGGTTGCTTTTGTTATAAAATCACACATTCTGTACATGTACATTTAAACCCGGCACAGCCGAAACTTCCGACATGGCAATTCTTCCCTTTTTTTGTAACAGAACAGGGAAGCTGGAAACAAAGCCCCATGGTGCCAAATGAAAGAGTAAACATTCTATCTACATGTATGTCAAAAGGGAGCTGTCCACGTACGCTCGTGTTTTCATCCTCTGTAACTGTTATCACAATCTGACTGCATTGTGATTACAAAATCCTTCCCTGTACCAACAGGCCAAGCTGACGTTTTCCAAAAGACGAACTTTTTAACATTTCTCCCAAAGAGAGCAAAGTTCCTTCCCAAATACTCACAAATGTCAATTTCATCATCTGTCTGTGACATCCCGATGCACTCAAAGTTAAAACTGATGAGTGTGTCTGAGAAAGCCCTCTGGGCTTTGGATAAATCTGGTGCAGAAAAGGAGAGACAAAAGAAAAACCATTCGTTATTTATCTACACTTCAAGCTCTACAGTAACAACTTTATCAAAAGGACTTTTGTTTATCGGAAGGCAAAGACAGGCCCCAAAATTCTCCGATCAAAGCTCAACCAATAATAATAATAATAATAACATTTATAAAGCGCATTTTTCCGAAGGTTACAATGCGCTGGGAAAAAAAGCAACTGCAGGAAAGTAAACCAAGTGCTAAGACAAAATCAGTGGGAGCAGATGACCAAAACCTAGAGTGGAAACAGATAAGATTTAAGTTTTAAGTTAAGATTCAAGTTAACCAATACAGTTGAACCTCATCAATGAGAGCACTGTTTCTGTAATACAACATTCTGCTTACAGTGTAGAATACCAAAGTGAATACGTCAGATGCACAATTGTGTGGTTTAACCTGTCATACATATATCAACATAAATTTGTTTACATTATGCTCATGAATTTATGTGTAATATGATTGTACATGTATATTTATAACAGCAGGAAACCAAATTTTATTTTCTTTTATATGCTTAAAGGAAATGACAAAAAATATATCTACATGTACCGCTATCTATCTAAAAGGCATAAGTGTGAGAACCAGCACATGAACCAACACGTGCACATACTCCATTCCTTTGCACTACACTTGCTGGCTCACAGTGACATCACATTTTGGTACTCCATAACAACAACTTGTTTAGGTCCTAATCTTTTGTTCTTCTTTGTTTTCATTCCCAATAATACAAATTTCCGGCTATAACCAGGTAAACGGCAAAGTCTAAAGGACCTACATGTATTAACATGGTTCACCTGAACAGTACATGTACTTGTATACTACATGTAGCATGTGTTATCCAAGCAAGGTCTAATCATGTGTGAGTGACAAGTCAATTTTCAAGTAGAAAAAAATATCTAGAAAATCTCATAAAAATTTTGTGAGCCTTTCTGATACCGGTTCACAGGCAAGGATGTCAAGGTGAGGACTTATGAGGAAGCCACTGTGGATTGTTTTCGGGCCAAAATTACTGGTTACAGAAGCAGTCATCCATCATTAAGTTAACAACTGCATTGTCAATTACTTGAATTTACTTTCCACTCGCCATTTGTCACAAAGGTTTCAAAATATGAATAGTCACAAACCCTGTACAACGTCAAGTGTAAAAGCAATGCTTAGTATTGGTTCATGTACATTAATCTTGGATGGATGTACAAGTTCTATGTGTATGTACATGTATAGTACACAAAAATTAAAAATACGAGCAAACCTAAACAAGTGTGCAAAACATCTGTCTGAGCAAACCTTAACAGGTACACTACTTGTGTACATGTGCATTTGTATAACATAAGTCCACATGTATGGGCACATCCTACCTCTGTAGTACCGGTGTATGCACAGTGTATCACAATACCCAAGTACATGTACATGTAACGGTGTGAAAAGCAATACCATTTAGAATACCATATCAAAATAAACTATAAAGAGAAGTCTGTGCCTAGGATCACGACCCTAGGGCATGCTGCATACTGGTTCATACAATGTACATGTATGTGGCAAGGATACCATCTGTGCAAGCAAAGAGTCCTTAATCCCACAATGTAATATTGACATTGCCTTATCTCTACATGGTCCATTCAGATCCCAGACGCCTGCCCCTGTATGATTTGCAGTCTCCTCCTCCCCCCCCCTTGCCATGGGTCATGGTGTGGTTGCTGGCATACTGCATCCCTCGCCTGCAGTCTGTAGTCACTTTGTAAATTAAGCACTTCTTAAAGGGGCGTGTACTGTGAGCACCCAATGCTCTCGTGCCAGGCATGAACATGTACATGTACTCCATATCTGCAGAGTATCACTCAACACACTTTACATGTACATGTATGCACCATGAACATGGTATGCTTGGATCTCCGGCAGAATGCACCAGATGCAGTGCTGATTTTTCCAGTCCCACACACATACATGTACACATTCATGATGCACGGGGGGGGGTGCATATTTTTAATATAGTGCTGGCCTGGGACCTGCTGGTCCTTGCTGCCAATTCTGTTTTCCCAGGAACTGAGAGGATACTACCCATTTCGCAGATACTGTATTAACACACTAAATTCAAATCTGACACTGGACCCATGACCACTTACAGCAAAACCAACTTCTACAGCCGTCTGTACATGTAAGTGCCACGTGCACAGAAAAACAATTGGATGTAGGACCACATCACACCCATAAAGTGAACCTAAATGGTGATTCACTGAGCATCATTCCGGTTACAGATCAGGTCACTCGGCCGCAAGCAGTTACAATCAGGTGACCTGAGCACGGTGGATGAATGAGACCGTTGCAGAGGCAAATAATAAGAAAGGGGTGATATTTGTAGCTACATGTACCAAGTCTCAGAAGTCTCCCACTGCTGAACATGTACAAGAGGATTTGTAAATTGTACATTTACATGTAACAGAAACAACCTTGCTAAAAATACAGATATTTATTTTCCTTACTCAAAGGGAAAACCTGTTTATTTGGGCAACTACATTTGAAAGTCTTTCTAAAAAATATGAGACAGCTTTATGACTAAAATTTAAAAGCGCAATGTATACACGACATAGTTGAATTGTATGAAAAATACAGTCTACCATCAGACTTCAAAGTGGAAGGAAATCACAAACAAATATGATGAGCAGCTCTTCTTTTCTAAGAAGGCTCACAGACCTTCAAACATGTACAGACATGTCTGGCATTTTGTACAACCCATTAGAATCGCACACAGCAGTATCCAACTCAGCTAAATGTACTAGTACAGTGTAAAAAAATTGTAATGTCTTTGCTGAGAAAATACAGTATTGGTCATCTGTGTATCATCACAAGGCAAGTTACTGGAAGATCATGAACTAGTATGAGTAGTGTACCATACAAAAATAAATTGAAACATTAAACTGGACGTTAGAATGCATGCAATTTACATGTACGTATGGTACATGTACATGTACTACTGAATTTAAAATCAAATTTGATTTACATGTTAAAATTTGAATTTAATCAGGTTCTTGATACTCATTTATTCAGTATAAAATTCATACATGCATCATACCCTGGGACATGTTAATTAATAGTTGAACTACCAGTTCAACAACAAAGACATTACACATTTTGTTGTACATTAAACAGTTCTAGCACAGTATGTTTAGCTCAGTTGGATACTGCTGTGTGCGATTTTAATGGGTTATAAATGATAAAATTTGGACAATGTACATAATACAGAGGTGCAATGTACATGTATACTGGTAGGCAAAAATCATACACTATGGAAACGGTTTTGAAAAGAGAGAGTGAAATTTGTACGTACATTTCGCATAATTTTTAACATCTTGCAACGATGGGATTCATGCATTGGTGCACTCTATTAAGGAAGCATGTGTGGGTAATCCCAGAAATTAGGGGTCCAAAAGTGTGGCATCAGTTTGCCATATGTGCCATTAACCTACAACAACAACTCCGCATGTAACTTTTCAAAACTTCTAAAAGAGTGACTTTGATCATGTAAAATACAAATTACCACCTTCAGATTTATAAAAATGATTATTTGGGGATAATTAGGCATAATATGTACATTTGGTGGACATCTGGTTGGCTACCAGTGTAAATCAAATGGAGTTGAATTCATTTAAAGTTTTATGCCAAAACGTTTTCACCAGAGGACTTGATTTCAAAGGTTCCCTCAACAACAAGGAGAATTCAGCATATTTTTCAACTGATGTATTTTAAAACACCTAAGAAATAACTCTAAAAAAATATAAGCCATGGGAAAAAAAGGGCACAAAATTGACGGAAAATGATGAGAAAAGTTTGGCTCTCTTCATTCTCTTACCGTTTAAAATCTTTCTCACTATACCAGCATATCTGCCAGGTCTTATACCTTTCAACCACTGAAAATTATCTTTAAGTTTGGCTGCATCAAAAATGTATGAGTATAATACATTAGTTGCGAACGTCATATTTGAAACGTTTTTGGAAACGTACTTGAGGAAAATGTGATTTTATTGGCTAGAATTTCAACAAGTTGTTCACGTCCGTCAAAAATGGTGATGTTCGAGACTTTAATTAATCAACTCCAATTAAGTTGAAAGATGGGCACGGTCATCATTGTTCCAGATATCAGCCACGGCTTCCCTAATTTCATCAGACATTGGGAATTAATTCACTGCGTTCACTTCAGGAAAAATGAATCCCAAAGTTGAACATTATCTAATGGCCCCTATTTTGAGGAACCTGACGTACACATACATATATATATTTACATTCATCTACAGTGTATTCTTGTCCCCTCATGTACATGGAACTGCAAGCAATCAAGGTCATGCATGTGTACCTAGGGCCATGTTCCCCTAGTACATGTACATGTATGCACACTACAAAGTACGTGTGTTCAGGGCTGAACTGACCATACAGCTGTACAGTGATCACTGAACCAATGGGTAGGCCCCACTGTACTTGCCGCTGCTACCGATATTTCATGACCAATAAATACATGTAAAGCAGGTGAAAAGTACCCCTATAGGACCTATGTATGAAAAAAAAACCCAGCATAACGTGAGCTGTCGTGCGAACTAATTAATATTAAGTACATGTATTCTCAAAACATACATATGTGCACATGTACTGCCGGCAACATTCACATGTGCACTGTACCCTATTAAACGGTTTGTGCTATTGGCACAGTAAAGAAATACATGTACAGCTGTGTACAGTTGTCGAGATTCTTGATTTAACATTGATATCATCTGCACATTTCCAAACACACACACTTGTATACATGAAGTTCGAATCGAACAACACATCTCTTGTGCATTTGAACCACTGTCAACCAAAGTACATGTACTTGTAAATACGACCCAGACTGCCGCACCTTGAATGGGTGCCACATTTATTACCTGGTTCCCCTGTAATCCCATATCAACATCTACACAGGGCTACCACAGGCAGATA